TACTTATACAAAATTTTATTAAAATAAAACCATTTAAACTGGGTGTTCGGATTTATATGTCACTTAGTATATATCATTTGTTCTCCCAACATTTAATATCTCAACTACATTAGATATTCTGGATATAAGAGATATGATATATTTTTCATTAAACATGTTTCACCGGATTTATCCGGATTTATTATATGTATAGGGATTAATATTATTTTCTTTTTGAATGAGGGATATTCACCTTGGTCAAATATAAAAGTGATTAGATAGCAGAGTAGTGCAGCAATTTCATGAGGAATTATCTTTAAGGCTTCTGCTCTTATCCCATGTTTCCCTGATGATTTTCTATTTTTTAACTTCAATATGGTATTACAAACGTCATCTTTATTTGTTTCTTTCAAAAAGAATGTATTTGGAACACTTTTAACAGGAAATTTTTTGCTTTATCTTAATCTCCGTTTTTCTTCTACCAAATTTTCATTTACCGATAAAAAATATTTAATAAAACACTCTGAAAACTTCAGCTCATTTGTAATTTCTTATCGTCAATCTGTAAGGCTACTCCCGCACGTCGAAAGCAAGCTCATCCAAAGAACTGGTCTTGGATTCCGATGTTTCGATAGATGGCAACGAAAATGACATCGGTCGATTTATTGGACGTGCGTTGATGTTATCAATCAAAGAGAAGGAGTTACTTGAAAACTGTTGGTCCTCTTCTGCGACGTATAAATTTGCGGAAGATGCCAAACATTTGAAGTGAAAATTCAATTATTCATTGTTAGAAACATACTCTCCATGGTTGCCTTATTCCAGGCGCCAAAAACGAGCCTTTTGTAAATATTGTGTGTTATTCCCGCCAAATCCAAATTCTTTTAGAGGCGTAGATATCGTCGGCCACTCAATAGGGCCTCGTGTGCCGATCCACTGATTCGGGAAATGGGTGTCCTAAAACTGTCGCACTGGAGCCACATAGTACGGCGGTGCACCATCTTGTTGGAAATGAATGTAATTTTTATTATAATTAAATTATTTTTCTATTATTTCGGTAATTCGTGGCTCTATTGTATTTCCTAACATGCCCAAGTACGTCTCGCCCGTCAAGTTTACAGAAATAAATAACGGCCCTACAATATTGTGACAAATAGTACTCGCCAGAGCTTCATGGCCGATCTCTGCGTTTACGCGCACCACCACCGCACAAGCTGCTTGGCGGCGTCTGTGAGGACCGTGTCAATGGATCGCCTTCTAGATCGACGCGAAGCAACCTCGACTATTCGGCAGGCCGCTATGTGGCTCCCGATTATTTTAGACACAACGATGCGGACTATATAACTCGGCGGCCGGGAAATGGAAGCAGAGTCCTGAATACGGTAGAGTAGTAGAGCGGAGTGGAGTATAGTGCAGTCAATGGCGACATAAGAATTAGTCAGACATAAATAGTGGTGTATATAAATGTTCTATCAAGTTAAATAAATTATTGCATTTCTTTTTGTGGAATCCAGTGTTTTAATCTACACCCAAAAGAACCCATAAAAATGCTATAATATCGCCAAGTCACATTAGGGCAGCTAGTGATTCGTTTTTGGACCGTCTCAATGCTATAGTCAGGGCAAAAGGTGGTCATATTGAGATAAAGTGAATTATTTCTGTATTTTCGAATATTTTCACACATTCTAAACTTCGGAATAAATAAAAATCATTTTCCTAACCGAATTTATGGCATTTTGAAAAGGTTACACATCGAGTGCCGAACCCTGTAGATGTTGAGCTGTACGTCGCGCGCAGGACCGTGTGAAAACCCCAATAACAACAATAGCTCTTCGCAGAGTAGTGGAGGCCGCATCTCCGGCGTAGGAGAGTCCGGCGGGAATTTGCGCGCCGGATATTGTGTGGAACGACTCATCCACTCCCACAGCCCAACGCCGCATCCGATTGTGTGAAAGGGACGTATATAACGATTGTCGCCTTGTTTCAAAGTCAATATGAGCTCAAGCTCTCCGAAAAATATTATTTCATAGATTTTGATTCTTCGAACATTGCCATTTTAAATCACAATGCGAGTGTGAACTCGATACTTCAAATATACGTACGCGTACATACACCTTTCTAACATGATGTTGCGATTGATACTAAGCAGAGCGCCCGCCGCCCAGCCAAAAGCGAATGTACCTGTGTTGACGGCCGCTACCGCGCTTACTGTCAGTACCTGTTTGTGACGTTTACATCTAGTTTTAACCACTAAGGATTGACTACACCTAGGTGTAGCCGGGATCAAGTTGGGTGGACCTAGTTTTAACCGAATGCATCCGGCTAATACAGTAGAACCCCGATTATCCGAATCGCGATTATCCGAAATCCGCTATACCCGAAACAGATCGCACACAATAATTTCTCCGTTTAACCGAAGTTGTTCGGGAAATCGATGCATGATCTAAAATAGCCACCGGTAGTTCCCCTTTAGGCGTTTGCGTCATCAGATTCGCTGCCGGTTATTCCCCAAGCGCGTTTGCGTAATTCACTGGTATGTGTGCGTGTATGTTTGTTTCAGTCAGGTTCATAATCGCTAAGATGGAGCAGCATAGAAATAAACGTAAACGCGTTGTCATGACCATAGAACAGAAACTTGATGCAATCAGACGTTTAGATAGAGGTGATTTGCTTAAAAACGTGGCAACCGATTTGGGTGTGGGCGCGAGCACCATTTCAGAATGAAAAAAACAATGCGAGAAAATTGAAAAGAGGTCTAGTGTTCCGACATCATCGCAGCCGTCATGGAAAACTGAAAAAAGGGGGCACATCAAAAAGTGGACGATGTTTTATATCTGTGGTTTACACAGAATCGAGAACGTGGAGTACCAATTTCCGGACAGTCAACTTAAGTGAAGTTTTGCCAGTTATTGAGGCGCCTGATAACTGTACAGCCAGTGATGGTTGGCTGCATAGATGGAAAAAACGACACGGTATACGAGAATTAAAAGGAGAAAAACTATCTGCCGATAAGTCCACAGCATTAAAATTTGGAGATCATTTTAAAGAATTAATGAAACAGTATGGTTTAAATCCAGAACAAATTTACAACTGCAACAAAACGGGCCTAAACTATAAAATGTTACCGGCGAAAGGTTTAGTTTCAAAACAATAATCTACAGCTCCTGGTTACAAACGCAGTAAAGAACGTGTGACTATCCTGGATTTTAGCAATGCTTCCGGTACACACAAACTTCCTTTGTTGTTAGTCGGAAAATCAGCTAAACCAAGAGCATTTAAACATGTCCCTCCCAACGCTCTTCCATTGTGTTATAAAAATCAAAACAATACCTGGATGGATCCGCTCTATTTAAGGACTGGTTTTACAATCAATTTGTTCCCAAGACAGAACGATATGTGAATGAACGCGGGTATCCGAGAAAATGTATTTTGCTATTAGACAATGCTCCGAGCCACCCAAGTGAGGAGCAACTCAAAAGTTAGAAATACTCGTACGAGTGATGTTTTTTCCTCCTAGTGTAACGTCACTGATTCAGCCAATGGATCAAGTTTTAGAAAAATTAAAACGGAATTACAGATGTTTCTTATTAGAGCAAATTTTAGATGGAGTTGATAATGGTTGTAACCTCGTTGATTGTTTAAAATAGTTTAACCTCAAGAATGTAGCATATTGGATAGCAGAAGCATGGAGCCAAGTAAAAAATTCTAATTTACAAAAATCTTGGTCGACAATAATTAAGCAAGAAATGGAACCTTGCGCAGACTATGAGAATAACAACGAAAATTTACATGAGTTCGTCGTAAAAATAGCAGGGTGTGAAAATCTTACCCAAGCACATGTTGGTGAGTTGATTAATGGTGATGAATTGCTGGAAGAATTAACTGATACAGAACTAATACAAACTGTTTGTAACAATGGCGATGAGACAGTATTAAGTGATGCTAGTGACAATGAGACAGAAATCTCTGCCAAAATATCACATTCTGAGGGATTAGAAGCTCTACAAAAGGCGTTGACTTACGTCGAACAATAAGAAAATGCGACAGCAGCTGATCAAACGTTGCGTGGATATTGCTGCCAAAAATAGGAACAATGCTAAACGTGTACAGCTAAAAATTACTTCATTTGTTACTAAATTTTTTTTTATACTCCAACTACCACGAAGGCCTAAGGCCTAAACACCCATTGGGTACCGTGGGGCTATAGGGGGATACACAGGGGAAATTGGGAACGCCACAGGGACTCTCTACGGACAATCACAACATCCATAGCCAAGAGAAAAATTTCTCCTGGGACGGGACTCAAACCCGTACAGCGCACGGCGACTGATCAGGAGACCGAAGAGTCTACTACTGCGGCCACCGCTGCTGCCTGAAATACTCGTAAATATGTATGTTTGTATCCACATGTTTATATTTTACGTAACTTTATATAGGTATATACTCACTTAACACACGCATTTACTTTTTTCAATAAAAGCATTATCTAGTCTAAATATTTATTTCCGTTCAGAAATTATTTCGATTATCCAAAAGCACTTGGATCTACATTATTTCGGATAATCGTGGTTCTACTGTACTAGGTTTGGTCATGAATGTATAGGTTACACCTAAGACTAATCAACTGCCAGTGCCTACATCTCTACACCTAGTTGTAATCGGCTAAACCTAGTTGTCACCGCATTTCGGGTTTTAGCCGTAACATATAGACATACCTCGCCAGGTTTCAATTTCGTTACAGTCTTGAATACACTTGACCCACCAGTTTTTTGTTATTTTTCTAAAAGAGGCCAATTTGTCGCAATTTCGTTTGACAGCAACTTCTCCATTAGGTTACTCCACATTAATGCAATCATGTGAATTATTCAGTCTGCTAAAAATATATGTTTAGTAGGTTTGGAAATGAACCGAATATAATCTAACTAATGACATTAAAAGTACATAGTTAACCTACTTGACGCCATTTTTGCAAGCATCTATATAGCAATCAGAACATGCTGATTGTGATTCTTGTTTTACAGCTATGGATTGTTGGGCGCTAGTGGTTGCGGCAAGACCACTTTGTTGAGCTGCATAGTGGGCAGGAAGCGATTCAATTCTGGAGAAATATGGGTGTTAGGAGGAAAACCAGGAGAACCGGGCAGCGGTATTCCCGGACCAAGGGTTGGATATATGCCACAGGTATTTCATTACATTTTTGTACTAGCCCAAGAGTTTCACGCTCAATAACTTTAGACTTTTTAGAAATAACAGAGTCCATTCACAAGAATTCTAGTAGTTAAAACACAGGGTGGGCCACTTAGGCTAGGCGTAACACAACTTCGTTATGGGGCATTTCACCTGAAGCGGACAGCAAATAAAAATTGATTGATTATACAGATTATAAAGAATATTCCTTTTTTACAGTATTGCGGTTTTACTAAATATGCCTTTACCCCAAACTAGCCGACAAACAAGCGCCTCACTGCGACACACACACACACACAGATATATATATATATACGTATATATATATATAAGTAAAAAATTAAAGCTTCCGCCTTTTGTTGGGTACTTCGACAAAATTTAAGCAAAGAGGACTCTTTATACTATTTTATTCTCTCAGAGAGATATTTCAGGTGCACGTTGATTAAAAAAACTGGCCAAAAGATGATAAAAATAAACATCGATCTTGCTAAGATAATCTCAAAAGATTTATTTTTTTGTTTATACGTGTATAGTGCTTATCGGGAAGGTGCTCCCCTACTTATTTTTTTGAACGAGTCAAGTTAGCAAGCTCAAATGCAGAGTGGTGGAATCGACGGATGAATACTATATTTTAATATAAAAATAACAGTTGAATATATCAAGATGATGGCTGAGGGCCATCTTGTAACATTTTTAAATAGAGTGGAGGGTCATAAATACATATTTCTTCCCCTGGGCACTCTAATCCATAGCCTTCTTGAGGGCTTTATAGATGTGTTTTTACATTCTCGGACGATACAATAACGATAATTACTATATTTTTCATGAAATCTAGTAGAAGCCATGTTTTTATATATAAAAGGTTATGCTGCTGTCAGCTGCTGTTTACAAAGGGTATGACGTCAGAACACGTTAATATGGACCAAACTTGGCGGACGGCGTTTTCGCATGTCTAAGAAAAATATATTTTTAAATACAAGTTTAACGGTCTTTTAGGTCTGAAAAAAATATGGTATTAATTTTTTTGGCCTAATAGAACAAATATTAACTATTTAAGACCTACTTAAAAAAAATTGCCAATTAGCATTGATGATTTTCTGGACAACCATTATTTGATGACTTGACAGTAAATGTAAATGTTATAAACTAAGTTATTATATTTTTTTTAAATAGGATATAGCTCTGGTGGGTGAGTTCACCATAAAAGATGCAGTGTACTACTTTGGTAGAATATTTGGACTAGAGGAAAGTTACATTTCCCAAAGGTATCAGACGCTGCATACTCTATTAGAACTACCTCCAGATGACAGGTAATATTTTCTACATTTTTTCGAAGTATATTATAGATGGCTGACCTAAAGTAGCCTAGTTTCAATGAAAAAAGCCTACATTTACATGTTTTTTGAGACAGAATGCTCATGAAACTTCCACTAGGTATTTTACCCAGCACCTAAGGCTGACGAGGTGAACATGTCTTGTTTCAAAAGCGAAAGACTTTCAGATGATCTCAGTTTTAGTGTAAATATCGAATTCGAAATTTTTAGATAGCAACCATGAAATTATGAGGGAAACTTGGAATAATGTTGTACACCCTTAAAGAAAGTAACCAGTAAATCGGTGCGGATTTTAGACCCTAGTTTTAACCTTATTTAACTTGGCTCATAAGCAATATACAATTTCTTGTCCGGATGTTTCAAGTTTGATCCTCACCCAAAGTTGCGTACTTAGGTACCTAACATACTGCTACTTAGAAAGTTTCCAAATTCAAATTACTTCCGGAGAGAGACAGAAAAAAAACGAATTTTCCCAAAATCGTTTCAAATTTATTAACTTTATTTCTTCTAAAGGACTCCATATTGGATTTTTGCACATATAAATAGTTTTTAATTCTAAAATATATAAAATACATGGATATTGTCAAACGTTAGTTATTTCAAAAAAAAAATAGAATTTTAATAGGTAGTCTTTGTTTCGTATACCGGATTTATTGCAAAATCGTTGTTAATTTCCTGGTTTTATTTGAAATGTAAGTTTTAAAATAAATTGCATAATAGCATTGCCACTCTTTCTCCTTTACAATTGAACGTTTCTGTTTTCGATCTCATATTTAAGTTTTGCGCAGTCCAGCACAATTTCGATTCTGCATTTATGAATACATTTATTTATGTTTCGATAAACTTTACATATTTAGTTAAAGTAATATATTCTTAGTAGTATTTATACGTACAAAATAAAAAATACAATGTGGCGTCCAAATAAAAAAACAAAGTTGTAAATGGAAGACGAAAAAGAAACCTCGAATTGGAAATTCGACTACGCCATCTTGAGGAAAATAAATAGTGACAATGACAACATGCAATTTATTGTCAAATCCCATTTCAAATAAAGTCAGGAAAAAATAAAAATGATTTTGCCACAAATCTGGCATACAAAACAAATGACTATATGATAAATTCAAGGTCTACCTAGGTAATTCTGTTTTTTGCAATAACTTTCGCAATGTAAATGTATAACACGTTATACGTTTTTGGAATCAGAATTAAAAACTCTATTCGTCTGTCTGGCGTCCATAAGAAACAATAAAGTTGATGCCGGAGGACAATAGACGAATCGTCATATTGAAATTCTAATTATGCCATCTTACACAGGAGAAAAGGTGACAGTGTTAGTGTGCAGTTTAATGAGGGTCGAATTTAAAACACCCGGTATGTCGTATTCAAGCTCAGTCGTTAAACAAATAGGCTTTTTGCAAATATCTTGTTTTCTCTGAATTAACGTTAAAACGTCGACACGATACTCGTATTATGTGAGACTTTTTAGCCAAGTTGTACAACGTCAAAACAAAAATCTATCATTTTCAGCTCCGTTCGGAGTTGGTCTTGTTTTTGGTCTAAAGACCCATGATATATCGATTAATATAGGCACAAACTCGTGTACATGTTTTCTCAGCTTGCCGTTTTATCGCCAATGCCTTATTTAAAATAATGGCATTATTATACAGGATACGAATTAATTCCGGAATAGAAGGCTCCTACAAAATTTCAATAATTTAAGAACACGATTCTAGTAGAAACATAAATTTCTGAGACACTAACATGTACTACTTCCAGCCTTTTCTTGAAGGACACTTTATAAACTACTTGAATCGATCAGGCGACATCTGCACTAATTTAAAAATTTCCTATCAACAAATATCTCCTTGCGTATTTATTTCAAACAACATTATAACCTGAATCAAAAGATTCCAAAATTAAATGTGATGGAATAATGAAACGACACAATTAGGAGAGTTGCAAGTTCTCAAATTATTTATAAAATATAACAATTTTTGTCATTTAATTGTGTGCATTATGCAACTAAATCTAACTTAGGGTTGCGGTGAAATCAAGTGGATGCAAATACAGGGTCGATATGTAACTGACTGGTTTATGTGAATATTTGTGAAACGAAACGAAATACGTCCATTTTTTCATCTCAATCTTTTATTGAAACTTAGAAATTATGTATGAAAAATAATATCAGACAAATGTCTGCCTCTAGAAGCCGCGCAAACCTGAGCCCTCTTGATCATATTTTCCATCACTTTTTGGTAGGTTTTGGGAGGAATAGTTTCATTCGCTTCCGTAATATTGTTCTTTAGCTGCTCTACAGTATTTGGTTTATCGACATAAACCCTATTTTTCAAAATACCCATGAAAAAAGTCAGGAGCCGTTTAATCCGGTGACCTTGGCGGCCAGTTGACATCACCAAATCGAGAAATTATACGTCCCGGAAATATTGTTCGCAAAAGATTCATTGTTTCCCTAGCTGTGTGACAAGTTGCTCCGACCTGCTGGAACCACATGTTTTTCAAGTTAAATTGTTGGATTTGAGTTCTTAAAATAGTGCATAATGACGTGCGATGAATACCCACTTCTTAAGAACGATATCTGGTAGACGTCTCAGGGCGCTCCACTACACTCTCACGAACCCTCTCGATATTTTCCGGAGTACGAACACAGCGCGACCTGGGCAAGTCTTTAACTTCACCTGTTTGCTCAAATTTCCGCACCAATTGACACTGGGCACATTATTTCGATCTAAATCTTGTCGTAGCTTCCGAATCGTTGCAACAATCGATTATTTAAGTAAAACGTTTTAACAATACGGACGCGTTGTGGGATCGTGTAGCACTCCATGATGAATTGGAGTGTGCTTTAAACAACTACTACGGCATTTTGCCTAATTTTCAGACGGTCAGTTAGCTACAATTGGTTGATTGTTGTCTACTGTTTTTTCGTTTTCTCGAGTTTATTTTCCAACATTGTGAACTCGTAGTCGTTTGAATCCGACGAGATTTCGAAAACAAACATATATACGTACTATATTAATACTTCCAGAGAATTATATTTCTTTGTAAAGAAACTCAATTACGTGACCTACTTTTTTGACAAAGTGTAGCTCTAAATCTGTATACATAAGAGTATGTAGAAATCTTGAAAAAAAATTTGTCTTCGCAACAAAAGGTGATAGACATATCCGCTTTGTTTTAAAATGTGTATAATAACGTATGTTTTTCGAATATCCTAGCGCATCAGTTCAATTAGTCACAAATACGAAATGTTTGAATTTGTTTAGAAGAAAAAACGTAATCGTTTGTTTTTCGCCTGAAAATCACATTTATCTTGCGGAATGGTTTGTGATTAATATCGGCAAGGTAAACTCGTGTATTACGCCATTTGAACGAACCCTGTATATTGCTCAATAAACTATATATAGTAGTGATGACCGGGAAACAGAGGTGTTGGGATAAGCAATTAGAAATTCTCAAAAACTACTAATTTACTCCAATTTTGTTGTGGTGTCCCGCTATAATTTTTTTGCTATTAGTCGAATTTTTGCGTGTGGTCTCATTTTGTAGGTCTCCTAAATACCTAAAAATCTTATTTGAAGAGTTTTTTCGTTCCTACCAAAACCTGAATCCCAAAAAACACGTTTTCTCATTCTGAAACCCAACTTTACAATTATTTCGCAAACCAGGGGTATTTTCGTCTAATATGATTGAACTAATTAAAGCCGGACTCATGTTGTTGTATAACATCAGTTGGTGGAATCAATTCATTAAAAAATTACTGAAGCATAACATTAAATTTCCTATTAAATTTCCTTTTTGTCTATATGATGTATTACTCTTTGTTTTGCGGAATAATAAATTCAGAGTATAACTTACAGGGCGTTGCTCTTAATTGAATACAAGGAAATAAACAAAACTTAATCTCACCCTCCGGACGTAAACTCACTCCACTCTCGGAATGTCCGGGTGGAGGGTGGGCTCGAGGGAACAACATCGAAGATAAAATTTGTTTTTCGAACATCTGCGGGATTAACAGCAACATTGATGCTGTTCATCACTACCTGCAATCCAGTCGTCCCGCCGTGCTTTTCTTGGCGGAGACAAAAATCTTAGAGACTGCACCGATTAACCATCTCAACTTCCCAAACTACGAGGTGCACTCCAATCTGAGAAAGAACGGGGGAGTTGTGGCTTTTGTCCACACAGTGAAAGTTCCTAAACCAGTGTCCGACGGCTGGTTTAACAAATCGTGTGACACTGCTCGCCAGCAGAAGAGCAAGGCACACAGAACTTACTTACAAAACCCCACTGTAGAGAACAGACCAGCCGACGTCGAGTCCAGAAACAAATATAACGAAGCGGTTCGCAATGCCAAAAACCAGCACGATATAAAAGTGAGGCACAGGGTAATGTCGCAGCGCAATGGCAGTCGGTCTTTCTGGACGCTGGCCAAGCAGATTGAAAAAACTTCTCACACAGTAGCCTTCCACCACTTACTTGTCAGGATGGAACTATTGTATTCTACTCAAAGGCCAAGGCGGAAGTGCTAGCCAAGATCTTTGCTGCCAACTCCACCATGGAGGTCCCTACCAACGCCCAAGTGCCGTCAATTCAAAGGGTTCCCCACACTATGCGGGAGGTAACATTCAGGCATAAGACCGTAAGACGAGTGCTCTTGTCGCTCGACATCAACAAAGCTTCTGGTCTGGACTTGATTCCTGCCATTGTACTGAAGAGATGTGCAGCGGTGCTTGCTCCAGTTCTTTCGCGTCTCTTCCAGATATCTTATGAATCCGGCACCTTCCCAGAAAACTGGAAATTTGCTCATGTCCAGCCCATCCCAAAAAAAGGATCTAAGACCGACCCTTACAACTACAGGCCTATAGCACTGCTTTCTGTTATAAGTAAAGTGATGGAGAGGTGCATAAATCGCGAGCTTCTGGACTACCTCGAACGTCACAGCTTGATTAGCGACAGGCAGTACGGTTTCCGGCACCAACGATCCACAGGGGACCTCCTAGCTTACGACACGCAATTGTGGAGTAAACTCATCCAGTCTCATGGTGAGGATCATGTCGTTGCTCTTGACATCACGAAAGCGTTCGATCAGCTGTGGCACGCTGCCCTCTTAAGCAAACTTCCATCCTATGGCCTCCCAGAAAAGCTTTGCAGATGGGTGGCTGACTGTATCTCTGGCCGCAAGATATCCGTCGTAATTGACGGATTCTCCTCTTCATCCCACAACGTCAACGCGGGTGTTCCCCAGGGATCGGTCTTGGCTCCAACACTGTTTCTCTTACATATCAACGAACTCCTTTCCTGCACGATCAACCCAATCCACAGCTTCGCTGATGACAGCACTCTACATGCAGGAATTCAGAGTGACAAGCCGATCTCTGCCGCTGAGCTGGTAAAAAGAAGACTAGCGACGACTTCCTCTCTGATAAAAGACCTGGAGGCTATCACTGCTTGTGGTCTCAACAATCTTGTACAGTTTAATGCTTCCAAAACATACTGTACTTTGACGAACAAAAAGCGTCCTAGCGCTCAACCGGTTTCGATGGATGGCCGAGTTCTGTCAAAGAGCCATCCATTTCGGCTGGTCGGATGCCAGATCACCGAGGACCTGATTTGGCACGAACACATCTCGTCAATAGCGGCAGCTGCTGGGAAAAAGCAAATAGTTTAGGGCTAAGAAGTACTTTTCTCCGCATGACCTTCTCACTCTATACCAGGCCCAGATAAGGCTTAGCCTCGAGTATTGCTCACACGTTTGGGTTGCTGCCGCCCCGACTACATTATTTATGCTCGATGCTGTCTAGAGGAGGGCGGTCCGACTGATCGATGACTCTTCTCTAATAGACAGTAGCGGGACCCTTTCACACCGGCGGGCCGTCGGCGATCTAGCTCTTTTCTATCGCTACACCAACGGGCTTTGCTCCTCAGAGCTCTCTTCCATGATACCGCCGCGCGATGTGCCTGCCAGACAGGCCCGCCTGAGTTTGGCGTCCCATCCTAACCGTGTCAAACTTCGTACATCCAGAACTGGCCGATACGACCGCTCCTTTGTCCCAAGGGTGTCTAGATTGTGGAACAATCTACAAGAGGAAGCTTTTCCCAGTTCTACTAACCTTAGGCAGTTCAAAAATCGTATTAACAATATTTCTTTGGGATCATCATAGCAGCCGCGGTGTTCCAGCATTTAGGCTTCTGCCTGCGCGGCTGTTTCGATATAAAAAAAAACCTAGAATTTTGACCTCTTGAAACATGTTCACTTAAATTTTAGGCATTATTTTATAAAATGTTGATGAAACCAAGTTGATAACATTTGAAATTTTGAGTTTTGAGTCATATAAACTGCTAAAATTAAAATATTTGAATAAATAAAAACGCTTAACTAAAAAAACAAAAGAGTCGCAATCAATCTATTTTCTAATTAATCAGCACCCTTCATGGATTTTTCAACCGTTCGTCTAGTTTTACGCTACTCATAAGTAACTTTGTTATCGTGTTGCATTCCTACTAAATCGGTTCAATAGTGTCTGAAGTATAAGAATTTGGCGTATTTACATAAGCCGTATATCCGTAAAAACTGAATTCAAAACCTCTTTGTTTTCAAGTATGAAAACATCTCAGTCCATAATACGCACCATTTTACTATGTCCATTTAAGCATGGAACACCCTGTATAGGGAGTCGGCAAATTTGAAAGGCAGATTCACAGCACGCACATGTGAAAAATGTAAATGCTTCGTTTTGGTATACGGACTGTTTAAACTGGCTTGTCGTTGATAGTTCACCTTACATTTCTCACAAACCCTTACTGTCCCTGACAACATTCTGTAACACACTGTATTCATTTTGTCAGATTCCTGAAGAACTGTAGTGGCGGTCAGCAGAGACGAGTGTCTTTAGCAGCGGCTCTTGTCCACCAACCAGAATTGCTCATCATGGATGAACCAACTGTCGGTGTTGATCCCGTACTTAGAGACAGGTAAATAATTGATACTTGTACAATTGCTAAAGTTTAGAGTATAATATGTATCTTCTGATTTACCTTCCTTATCTAGGGCAATAAATAAATTACCATTTTACTCAAGAAATGTCTTAGATGATTCCACCATTAGAAAATTCAGCATCTAGATTTCAACATGTTGATCTAAAAGGATCATAACATGAGTAATTTCGACGGCTCATAATAGGCACCAAGTACTTTTTGCGTCTCATCACCATCACCACCAGACAAGGAAAGCTTTATGGTCGTATCGTCAGGCGTTAATACAATTTTATTGTAGGACGCTTTGCTTTTCATAGTTTTCTAACGTTCCGTGTTAGTGCTCTATTTTGAGGTTATGTTACAAATATCTACGTATTTGCATCAAAACATCTCTCTCTCACTATAGGAGAACGCTGACGCTGGCACTTAACAGTAGAAATCTAGAAATACCCCAGCCTTTCTGGGTCTAGGCTTGGTCTCACCTCTCTCGTCTCTGGCACAACGAACGACAGCAAAACAATTATCCTCTATCTAGATGATCCGCAAGGGTATCATGTAAAAAAGCCTACAAAACATCAAAAAAACCTATAAGATGTCAATTTGCAGACTAGGTAGTTTTTAGGGCGCAAACAGTCATTCCACGTTTGCTCACTAGGATCGTTGTAAACGTCCATCTATGGAGGAATCACTCAACTAAACTACACGCATTCTTGGTGGCATATGTTTTATGAGGCCAAATGGTCCTTGTCTGTAGGTTTTATCTCTGAGAAGAAAGTTGGTTGAATAGCAAGATCGCATCTGGATGATTATGTGTATTGGTCTGCATGTGAATATGCTGCCAGTGAAGTATATCTATTGACTGTGCCCGACGGGTTATTTTCATGTTGTGCTTTCTGAGGAGAGGTTATGTTCAGAGTTATAAATTACGAAAAGCTGAGGAGAATTACTGGAAATCATCACCGCGCCCGCGTTGTGTGTAATTACTGTTAGCATGTACATACATATATGGCTTGTAACTCGACAGTGTACAGTGAATATATAATTATTTATCTCTCTCATTTTGGAAATTCAGCAAATTTGTATATGTAATTTCCAGAATGGATAAGAAAAAGTGGATGCGCCGGTCTATCGAAATAAGACAAAGTGTCATCTATCACCAGAATCGGCCACTGGGGAGTGCGCATAGTTGCTGTTTGTTGGAATTGTAAAGATCTCAGTTCGCGTTTAATCGCCCAGTCACCATGTTAGATGACAATGCTGGCTGTATAGTAGATGTGGTGTACTTGCCATTGAACAAACTAAACATGCTGCTTTTGTCCGTCCGACCAAAAGACAGCATCAGCATGGTCTAGGCTTGTTCTAGGTCTGGGTCTGGAAAACATAAACTGATGAACATTGTTTGTCAATCATCTCTATATCCGGCATGAAAAGTAACGACAAAAAGTATTGGGAATACTGCTCCAGATATGCTGTAGTAAAATAGGGACATGCGACTTTAAGGAACTGTTTATAAGTTGTTATTCAAGGCTACATAAGAGTAAATTTTTTAAATATTTATAACCATATATCGAATAATATATGAAAGTTTCAATGGACATCTATGGAGAGTAATGAAAGAAAATGCCGTCGACTATGCCCGCATTATGCTGCATTAGGGTAAGAACGGACGAGAGGCTAACTTTGAGCTCTCGTTTTTCTAAACCTATTTCTTGAAGGATTTTGCATCCTTGAATACTTTTGTTTGACCTGTGTAGATCTATAACCTGCTAAATAGGCTTCTTATATCTAATTATTTCATATAATAAATGAGTACTTCTTACAGTATTTGCCTTAGGAAAACGATATATATCAATGCCATTTTTAAAGGACAAGATGGATAAGTAGGTCCAATTAAAAAAAACTTTTTTTATTTTTAATATGAAACTGTGAAAACACTATCGGCCATGATGTGACGTCATACAAACTATAAACAAACAAACGTCATCCGTATGTCTCTAGTGGACTGAATTTGCCTTTATCAAATATTTCTAAAAAAACTCCTAAATAACGTAAAAAGTTATCGTTTTCTCGATTTATTTTATAATCATAGCCATTGGATTCGTAAAAGCAGAAATTTGCTAAAAATTGGCACATTTATGGTTGGTATTTGTTTGGCGTCCACTCAGATTTCTGCTCTTCTGAGCTGAGGAACTTCAAGACTTCTATGTAAGTTCAGTGCATCTGACTTAATGATATACAAAAAAAGAAAGAATAAGTAATACACTTACATAATTTTTCTTTTCAGAAGTCATGCTCATAACCTCCGATTAATTCTATCTTCTTATTTCTTCTTACACACCTGGAAGGAAATCCGATGGTGATGATGCTATAGGTTACGTCCAACTTGAACGAGACGATAAAATATGCACAGTAAAATATGTCCAGAACATAAGGTATCTTCCGAGCATACACAGTGTTGCTTATATTTATTTCGCTGGGTATTATAATCCACAGTTTTGCTGGGGTCTTTATCGATGTATTTTTTCATTCTCGGACGATACAATAACGATAATTTCTGTAGTTTTTATATAAACTAGTAGAAGTCATGTTTACAAGTTTGGGAGGTTATGCTGCTGTCAGCTGCTGTTTACAAATAGTATGACGTCAGAATATATTATTATGGGCCAAGCATAAAGAAATATAGTATTAATTTTTTTGATCTAACTTAACTATTTAAGGCCTAATTAAACAAAATGTCAACTGGCCTATGAAGGAAATATTGTCTTTTGGCATCCAACATAATGCCTCTGAGGTTTCTCGAAGTTACCTTGGAGGAATCACTTGATTCTGTCTCAACATAATGTCGGGAAATGGTGTAATTCCATGGATGAATGCATAATATTTTCTTGTTTATGTCTTCAGGCGATATTGCAAGAATATTTTGTACATTATTTGTCAATTTTCTGGTAATGATGGACACACTCCAATTTATTTCTCTAGTCAGATATACCTTGAAATGCTGTTTTAATAGTATTTTTTATTATTTTTAGAATATGGGAACATTTAGTTGAAATAACCAGAAAAGAGAATACATCTGTGATAATAACTACTCATTATATAGAGGAATGTAGGCAAGCTAATAAAGTAAGTGGAATAATTTTTTAAAATTTCGGTTAGTGTGTAGTTTTAAGTTTTTAACTTCTGGATGACATATTGATTCGCACAACCTCAAATATTTAGAAAAAGAAAATGCAGTAGCGTTTAATGTGATGTTAATGCGATATCAAATCAAAATGCATCAGATGGACATTATTTGTGCAACATCGGAATCCTATCGGAATCCTATTATGTGATTTACATATTTATGTAGGCTTGAGTTTTCAATAACGTTTACGGCCTTTTTCAAAGTACAGATCAAACAAGTGATAGTAACTACATATTTATTTTATATTTATCTGTTTTCCAGGTGATAGTTCAGTTATTTTTACTTCCTACGCCACGGGGCGAGGCAGTATTGTGATCGCGCAAAATTTCGAAAATGAGATATTATGTTTTTTGGATGTTATATGATACAACACAAAAAACCATGTCTCTCATTTCCGTCGGTCTATCTGCCTGTCTTTCTGCCCGCTGCTCCTTGACCTATCTATAACTTCGATAGTTCCGGTCGGATTTTGAACATAGTGTGACAACGTTCCTGCTCATGTTTAGGCAAGTAGGTTGACTCTGGACTTCTCACGCTGTCCTACGGACATGTATAACAAAAAAATAACGTATCAAGTCTATCAAACAGACCTATATAGTTAGTCCTTAGTTCTCATACATTTGACAATGTTGCGATCTAGATATTTCCTTATATTTGGGTTCAATTAACGGTCAGAAAACATGGGGAAATCAGATTCGCTATCAAGCTGATTAAGCACTAAGCGCTGCAGCAGTGTGGGTTCCTGAATACACCATTTACTATCCGAGCTAAATTTATTAAGACCAAGAAAATAGAATTCTAACCAAATACAAATGGTTTTAGAGGACAGAAGGAGATGTATGGACAACAGGAAACTACTTAATTGACAGAAGTCACAAAACTAAAATTGGATTCACATATTAACAAATATTTCTGTTCGTGTACTGCAAGGTAATAAAATGGATCCACTACTATTTATTTTATAAAATTATGACATTTGTGATATTTTAGATTATTGTAAAGTTCAGATATTTGCAGATGATGCATATACATATCAGATGAAAACTCCCACAAAATAAAGCTATGAATAAAAATAAGTACACCAAAATAAAATCTGTGTTAGAAGAATTGCAGTGGTTGAATATAAAAATCATCTTTTGCCACAACATTTACAACATTATATAGAAATGAATAATCATTACCACAAGTATTATACAAGAGGATATATAGATTTCCATTTACAAAATTGCAATAGTAATTGTACCATAACTAGGAAATCAATATTTCAGAAGGGATTACTTGAATTTAATAAACTAAATAATGACAAAGTCTACTTGTAATTTGAATTAATAGCATTTTTCATGGACAGAGAAAATTCTTAGAGATGCAGGTTTTGTTTTTTTTTTAATATTTGGATGTTATGTAATTGTTGTAATTTTTTAAAAGAATGTAATTGTAACAATCATGCTAAATAAGTCTTAAACAACAAAACAGCAATCATTTTTGGAGTCGCGCGAAATCCATAGGGGTCAAGGATTATTAGACTGAAAAATCGCCGATAGCCATCACGTACCGACAGAAATGAGCGACATGGTAGCAGACATCAAAGTAACTTTTTTAAATTACTCAATGATACCACAAAAAGAATTTTCTCAATTGACAGATTGGTTTGATGCGTGAGGGTCGGTTACTAGCAGAAGAATCCCCAGGTCGACTACTGCAGATCTTTGACACAGATACGCTAGAGGAGGTATTTCTTATACTGAGCAAAAGGCAGGAGGAAGGCCGTCTGGATGACATTTCTTCCTACCCAGTTGCCGATGACCAGAACAATTGCATGGTGGAGATGATGCCCTATACAGGCTCAACAGTCTCTGTTACATCCACTGTGGCTACGATGGAAATTGGGCATGGATCACAAGATGTAAGTGATTTCCATACATTGATCCTCTAAATAGAAAATCTGAATTTTGTCATCGTTTTTATTTTGACTTTTCTTTATTTGACATGGGATTGCAAGATTGAAAACACATTAACGTTGCCACTTTGTCTCTTCTACAAGATGGCATAATTAAAATTTCATTTTGGTCAATGAAGGATTTACACTAAACATGTGTATTGCATAATTATATAGGAAAGTGGAGCCTCCTGTTGATGTAGACTTAGTATTATTTGAAAATATCCTAGTTTGTTTAAAGTGCCATTAGACATAAAATTAAAGTTTTTGTACACATGATGAAATGACCTTATTCAGTTTCAGGTATCCATTTCCCTACTTTCTGAATTTAAAACAAAGAATATATCATTCAGTAAAATGCAATTTGTTTTTTTTACATTCGAAATATTATCCAAATATCCTTTTGAATCTAAATGAAATAATTCATAAAAACTAGATAAACACTTTTACCTCACCTAATTAAACATATTCAATGAATCCAATTAACTTGTGTTATTTGGAGCAGGTAAAGTTGTTTTAATAGTTCATTAATTTTAAATACATTGGTATAATCAAAAGTAAGCAGTTTAATAAATCTAATTGAACGATTGCGTTTTACTTTAATTAAACTAATTTCATAGATTCAAGTAAATAGCTTTATAAACCGGAGTTTGATTAAACTGATTAAACTTGTTAGCTGTCACATGGTGAAATGTTTTAATTGACCTAATTCAAATTTTAATTGGTTTAATTAAATTTTTATCTCAGTGTGCTCAAGTGAATGAAGTTTTTAATTCTGATTCCAAATATATATATACAGGGTGACTTCGAAGTTGAGTCATTTATTTTAACAGTGAGTAGATCTGATCAAAAGAAATGTTTTTTTCCTTTAACATTTTTGTGGTAAAATTAAAGTAACAAAGTTATAGCCCTTTAGAAGTTTGAGTACCGCCCTGTCTCAATAATAATATTATGTGCTCGTGTTTGGCAACAACGTATATAATCCGCCTTCATCGCATCGGAAACAAAAAAGCGAAAGAATTTGAAACGCTGATCACGATGTTTTTATTCAGTCAATGTGTCAGTCGGTAACGCGTGAGTGAATAGTGGTGTTTGCTGCGTGGCTCAAACGAAATAAAAAATGGCACATGTTTATGCGGATCGGTTTCCCAATCGAGTGCAACCAACCCCTCGTGCCTTTGTTAATGTAGTACAACGGGCTCGTGAATCAGGTGACTTAAGACCTCACAGGGGAGGGCATGCCGGTGCTCCAAGACCTCACGATCAAATACAGGTCCGCACTGAAATACTTGTCGGGAGGATACTTTATAAAACAAGGTAAAGATTTTTCTTTAATTTTTACACACATATTTTGGTTTATCTTCTTTCTACAATCATTATCTGAAAATTAATGACTCAACTTCGAAGTCACATATACATATATATATATACAGGGTGACTTCGAAGTTGAGTCATTTATTTTAACAGTGAGTAGATCTGATCAAAAGAAATGTTTTTTTCCTTTACCATTTTTCTGGTAAAATTAAAGTAACAAAGTTATAGCCCTTTGGAAGTTTGAGTACCGCCCTGTCTCAATAATGATATTATGTTCTCGTGTTTGGCAACAACAGATATAATCCGCCTTATCCGTTCATCGCATCGGAAACAAAAAAGCGAAAGAATTTGGAACGATCTTTTTACAATTATTTTCTTCAGTTGTATACAGTCAGTATCAGTCGGTAGTCGGTAACGCGTAAGTGAATAATCGTGTCTGTTGCGAGGCTCAAATCAAAAATGGCACATGTTTACGAAAATGCTGAACTTGTGGACATGGTTCTTATTTACGGGGAGTCTTTACAAAATGCTGCCGCGGCATCACGGATCTATGCGGATCGGTTTCCCAATCGAGTGCAACCAACCCCTCGTGCCTTTGTTAATGTAGTGCAAAGAGCTCGTGAATCAGGTGACTTAAGACCTCACAGAGGAGATCATGCCGGTGCTCCAAGACCACACGATCAAATAGAACTAGAAGAACAAATTTTAGAATTAGTAAGTGATGATCCAACAGTAAGCACCCGACAAATTTCAACTCAATTGGCGATTAGTCAGTATAAAACTTGGAAAACTCTACGTGAAAATCAGTTCTATCCGTTTCACATACAAAAAGTGCAGGCCTTACAACCGGAAGATCATGAACAAAGGGTTGACTTTTGCAATTGGCTTTTAAATAAACATCAAAATGATGACAATTTTTTAAATCAAATTTTAGTGAGTGATGAAGCCCTCTTTACTAGAAACGGAATTATTAATTCACGTAATTCTCACGTTTGGGCTATTGAAAATCCCCATGAAATAAGGGAAACCAATTTTCAACAGCGATTTGAACCAATCAACCTGTGGGCGGGAATTGTTAATGGAATTTTAGTGGGGCCTTTTGAATTACCAAATCGCTTAACTGGTGAAAATTATTTTGATTTCTTGCAACACAATTTGCCTGGTTTACTGGAAGATGTGCCTTTAAATATTAGACAAAACATGTGGTTTTTACAAGATGGGGCACCACCCCATTATGCAAGAAATGTGCGTGAATTTTTAAATAGACAATTTAATAATCGTTGGCCGCCAAGGTCTCCGGACTTAAATCCTTTAGACTTTTGTTTGTGGGGTTGGCTAAAAACTCTAGTGTATAAAACACCGGTTAATACACGCGAAGAATTACGTGCTCGAATTGAGGAAATGAGTACAGTGATCAGAAATCAACCAGTGATTTTATTGCGTGCTTGTAAAGAGACATGGCTAAGACGCGCCCAGCTGTGCGTCGAGCAAAACGGAAATCATTTCGAACAGTTTTTGTGACATGCTTTTGGGCGCACAGGTCCGCACTGAAATACTTGTCGGGAGGATACTTTATAAAACAAGGTAACATTTTTTTTTTAATTTTTTTTTATTTTTACACACATATTTTGGTTTATCTTCCTTCTACAATCATTATCTGAAAATTAATGACTCAACTTCAAAGTCATATATATATATATATACATATATATATATATATATATATTCACTTGAAATTGTCAGACAGTAATTTGTTTCATATCATCAGCCAAGCATTCCTCCAGTTTTTATGTACTAGGCATAGGTGAACAGGCCCTACTTTCGATTTTAATGATATTGTACAAATCATGTCAGATTTGTATTATAAAACTTCCAATGTCTAAAGAAGTAATCTCCCTATAATTCACCGAATAAAGGACAATATAACGCCAAACTTTTTCATATCGTTTCGAGTACAGTCTTTATAAGATCCAATCACTGATATACTGAGTTCGCATATTGTTGTTTAAACATTATATTAAATATGCTAAGTTAGTGAAGTTTTCTCCATTCTCCAACCACTTTGTTACGTGAGTCTTATTAAAGTTAAGTAACAATTGTTTGTCATTTTCATTGCAAGATATTGACGACAAAGGACAAACGCAGGATGCCAAGAAAACGGCTGGATGGGAACAGAGTTAAGGCACTGATGGACAAGAACTGGAAGCAGTTCTACAGGAACGTGACGTAAGTCTACCTCCGTTACAGCTTATTTATTTGTATATATTCTATCTTGGTTTTATTTCTTCTACTATCCCGACTATAATATTATAAATGAGAAAGTGTGGAGGTTTGTTACTCAATCACGTCAAAATGCCTTAACGTATTATAGTCTGGAAATCGCACATAGACCACTTTTATCATAAGAAATTAATATAAAATATCTATTTTATGGCTACAGCTCAAACGGCATAACGGAATTTGCCAGGAGGTGTTTGATGCGGGAGCGTTCAGTCGCTGATCATACGGAAATAGTAGTAGTAGTAGAAATATTTATTTAGCACGTTTGGCTACATAAACAAAATAATTATACATAACTTAGAATTAGTACACTTAAGCCATATGATGCACATGCTGGGCAAGCCATAATTGTGGTTTTAACAGGTGATTCCTCAATTTTACCCTGAATTTTGTCAAAGTATTCTGGTCTGTACTCTCTGTATTTAACTTATTATATTCAATCAACCTTTGATGGAATTCAGATTTGCAGCATATATTATACTTTGATGATGTTAAATTAGTTAGACTTGATGGAAATATATTATTTTTTACTTCATAATTTTTTTTTAATTTGTTTGGAATACATTTATCTCTATTTATTTGTTGAATTTACTGTCTTCGAAAAATGGAATTATTAGCAAGATATAGAATAGTCGAACAATACAATACATCTTGTACAGCTTTTTAATACAAAGTAATGTATAAAAAATTTCTATCCACAGCCCTCTGGTTGAGAAGCTCAGAGTGAACGAACTTGATGTCAGATGCCAACTTTGCTCTTGGTGAATTCTCACCATTGAGTCACGTATTAGTAATGGTCACCAACCAGATATGGTTAACCGTATCAAATGGCAAATCGTTCTCCGAAAATAATAGGTGAATGTTGTTGTTTCATTGCCAAGGTTTCACTGCAAACAATTTAATTGATAATTTGAGTTACACTTACGTAATGCTGAAAACAAAAAAGGATCGATTCTTTATAAGCCATCAGTGACGTAATTTGTGCGTACAAAATCGTAAAAAAGTGATCTTGAAAGTTTTTCGGACAAAGAATGAGTCGCAGTAAATCAAGAATAAATACTAATTATACTAAGGTTGTATGTATTATGTAGCTATATTCGATACAATATACAGGGTGTTTTCAAAGTTAAGTCATTTATTTTAACAGCTTGTAGAACTTGTCAAAAGAAGTTGATATACCACAAAGCACCTATACAAAAGTTGCATAATAAGAGAGTTAAGTTAAAAATTATTTAAAAAAATCACTATCACGGTAAATAGATAACTGTTTTTACAAAAACTGTTCAAAATTATCCCCATTTGTTCGATTAACGCAAAATCTTGCTCGGCGAATCTACGACTCTTTACAAGCTACGAGAATAAAATCCTGATGTAGACGAATTAAATCACAAGAATTTTCAGTGCGCTGTTGAAGTTCTTCCAGAGTATTTACTTCTCCATCATGATACGCCACCTTTTTCAAATAGCCTCACAGAACAAAATTGCAAACCGTTAAATCCGGGGAGCGAGCAGGCCAAAAAATTGGTTCATTGCGCGCTATCCATCTATTCGGAAACATCATTATTTAGATGTTCATGAACTTCTCGTGTAAAATGTGGCAAATTGTGTCGAAGAAAGTCTAAATAAATTTCACCGGCCGGTCGAGGTGGAAAAAAGTATGTTCCAATAAGTATGCGATTTACCACGCCAGCCCAAACATTTAATGAAAATCTATGTTGAAAATGAGTTCTTTTTACAGCATGCGAATTTTCTACTGTCCAAACATAATTGTTGGGGAAATTGTACACTCCATTTCGTGTAAATATGGCCTCGTCTGTACACAAAATTAATTTTCCTTCATTCCTGCCGGGCTGTTCTACAAGCCACTGGCTAAATGCAACTCTTCTAGAATGATCTTCAGGTTTTAACACTTGTACCCGTTGATAATAATGAGGATAATACTGTTCTTGTCGTATTGTCTTCCACTCTTTACTATGAGAAACTTCAACTTGAGCTGCTATGGCTCTAGTACTCATTGTTGGGTCGTCTTCTACCATTTCTAAAATGTTTTCCTCAATTTGTAACATTTCAGGTTAAGTAGGTCTTCCAGCGTGACCTCCTCGTTGTTCTTTTAAATATACTGTATCACGAAGTCTAATAACTAAATTTATACGCATCCATTTTGTTGGCACAACGTATGTTAGTATTATGTCCACTAGTTCATTGTTTTCGTAAACATGGACAATTTTTTCGCACAAAATAATCAGACAAATGAAAGTATACACACTATTAAAAGACTGATACAACTGATCGAACCAAAGACTCGTACTGAAAACCATACAATAACACAAAAGTTTTCCAAATTTAGATAAACGATGAGCAGTAAACAAAAAACGCTAAGATTTTATACGGCAGTGGTCAAGGATCTCAAAAAATCTGTGTTATAACATTCTTATTTTTTTAAATTTTGAATCTTTCACTATTTATTTTATTATGCAACTTTTATATAGGTGATTCTTGGTATATCAACTCCTTTTGACGGGTCCTACAAGCAGTTAAAATAAATGACTCAATTGAACACAATATGTCTTTAAGATGGTTAGAAAAGCCTTAATTGAAAAATATACTTAGATGAACAAGTGTATATTAAACCGGGTGGGATTAAGGGTGAGTCACGGATTCTTCCTTCGAATATAGTGGACTGTATTTTTGTGGTCATTTGATGTTTTATTGTGAAAACTTTTTAAATTTTTATATTTATAAAATGTAATGCATTGTAATTTTGATATTACAATAAATTGACGACTGCCTTCCATCCTCCCCATTTGTGAGTGTATTCCCATTGCTTTCCATGTTTTCATCCTGCTCCGCAAGAGCTTGTTTATTTCGCACAAAAAGGGCATATGCCTTTGAAGAAATATTACAGATTGGGTTAGAAGTTAACCAACTAGCGGTTTTGACGAAACCGCGTCAACTTCGAACAGTGCTATTAACATCATATTTATTTATTTATTTATTGAAATCCACCACCAACAGTGCTAACCAATTACTGGTGGAAAAACAGCAATAGACATAGTAAAAAAACATATAAAAATACAACGAAAACTAAAAACTAAATCATTTCACTGCAAACTATTCGAAACACTTTTATTGAACATGAACACATCGAGTACAAAGGTGAGTGCAACAGTAAGTTAGTTCGAGTAACAAATTTTGGAGCATTAAATTTAATCTGTGTCAGAAATGATGGACAATCGTAACTGCTATGCACTACTTTATGCAGGAATATTAACGAGTGAATCTTTCTTCTGTTATCAAGACTGGTAAATTTGTGCTTACGTAACAGGTCTTCCTGTGGGACCCCAATAGGTGGGTACGTACCGTCAATTTTGAATGAATGAATTTCAGAAATTTCCGTTGAATCTTCTCCAGAGACCCAAGTTGTAACATAGCATGGATTCCATATTAGCCATCCATATTCTAATTTAGATAGTATGAATGAATTATAAAGCATAATCATCGCATTTTGAGTTACGTATTACAAATCCTAATAATCTCTTGACCGCATTAATAAGGTGCTCAATATGAGGATTGAAGCTAAGTGACATGTCAAAAATCACACCCTCTTCCTTGCATTATTTTACTCTCAACAGAGAATGATTGCCAATTTTGTAGTCAAATGCAGTAATATCTAGCTTTCTGGTGTAAGACATTTACTGTAGTTGATTGCAAGTCGATTTACAGCACACCATTTAACTATTTTGGCTAGGTCTTTTTGTAAACGAGCACAGTCAGTGTTGCAGTCGACATTGGAAAAAAATTTCAAATCATCAGCATAGATTAAGTGGCTGCTGTCGATGTCGCTAACAATATCGTTTATGAACAGTATGCTTAGGAGCCTTGAGGTACCCCTGAGGTTGGGAAGAATCCAATGGATTTGACACCCTCATATTCAACATATTGCTTTCTTCCTGATAGCTATGACTTAAGAAAGGATAACAGCTTGGGGGAGAACCCAAAATAGCTCAGCTTCATTAATAGAATACTATGATCAAGTTTGTCAAATGCTTTACTAAAATCTGTATAAATTACATCCACCTGACTATTAGCATCTAATGCAGAGGAGACTGACAGAGTAAAACAGGCTAGGTTAGTTATGGTTGATCTACCCTTCATAGAGCCATGACAGGGCAGCACTCGAAATTTCTGAACATAGTTTCTTTAGATTATTCCTTTATTAAATCATAAAAGTATAGAGGATAGGGTTGTATATGGCTTGACATCACATAAGGAAAATGGCATCCTTGTCTTTTCTGGCTCGTCTAAACTTTCCATTCTTTTAAGGCGCGTACAGGCCAAGTTCCAATGCAAACGAATGCCAACCTGTCTTTGATGTACTGATAATATTCGTATGCGTTGGAAGCGGTGTGTACGACAGCTGTGAACGCACGCCAATGTATTCCAACTGATTCCAACCTACCGTTGGCGTTGGCTTAGGTTCGGTCACTTAGCGGTACATCAAAGAGATTTTGGTTTCGGTGTGGACGAGGTTATAATATTTTCAGATGCTGGGTCGAACGAACTGTTTATTAATATGGAGTGGAACGACGATTTGTGCATCAAATTGATTCAATTATACCGGGATAATCCAGTAGTATTATGGGACCCTACCGATGTGAATTATAAACTAACAACTAAAAATCCGGCAGTTGCACATATACTAACTGACATATAAATCCGAACACCCAGTTTAAATGGTTTTATTTTAATAAAATTTTGTATAAGTACTTAATAAAGCATAATAAGTAAATGATAAGAATTTCAAAATGATTGCACTGCTTTAAAGCCCTTTGACCTTTAATAATGTGTGGATGCACCCTGATGTGCTACGCATTCTCCAACGCGCCTAGGCATGCTTCTGATCAGGTGGTCAATGTCCTCCTGTGGTATCTTATTCCAGGCAACCACCAACTCCTCTCGAAGTGCTTCTAGAGTCTGAGGAGGACGTTGCAAATTGAGCAATCTCCTACCCATCATATCCCACATGTGCTCAATTGGGGATCAGTCGGGAGATCTTGGTGGCCATGGTAACAATGTGACATCATTATGTTGAAACAAGTCTATTGTGACTCTTGCAACATGTGTGCGGGCATTATCTTGTTGGAAAGTTGGATCTGCCAGGGTGTCAAGATAGGGTAAAAGATGGGGTTCTAGAACTTCGTGGATATAATGCTGCGCGTTCATGTTACCTCTGATGAAGATTAAAGGTGACCTGGAACCATAAGCTATAGCACCCCAAACCATAACTCCAACAGTGTGATGAACATGCCTTTCAACAAAAAACTGTGGATTCCTCCTTTCACCACGTCGCCTTCTAACCCTGGCACGACCATCGTGCATGCCTAAACAAAATCGAGACTCGTCACTAAAGACAATACTGTTCCATTCCTGATTACAGAGTGTCCGTTGTCTGCACCACTCAAGGCGATTATGTCGGTGTTCTCGAGTTAAAGGGAGGACCCAGTGTGGCCGGTATGAAAACAAGCCAAAACTTCTCATTCGTCGGTAAACACTTCGCATGCCAATAGGTCTTCCGTGTTCTGCAAACCATTCATTTGCAATGGACCTGGTAGTGGAGAAACGGTCCCTTAAGGCCAATAATCTTAGGCGGCGATCTTCACGGTCTGTTGTGCTACGGCGGCGTCCAGTGCCCCTTGCTCTTTGCGTACGGCCTTCTCGAAGCCATGCGTGACAACACCTAACCACAGTGTCTACACTTCTTTGCACTCTAACTGCAATTGCCCGAAAAGAAAGTCCAGCTTCCCGAAGTCCCACTATACGGTCCCTATCAAACTCACTAAGTTTACTAGGCATCGTAACCGATCGTAAAGGATGTCAAGAACCAAAATCCGCCAACGTTGATTCTTTACTGCGGCTGAAATATTCATTTTTAGAGCGTTAGTGAATTAAAAAAAAGCAGTATAAAAACCGGAATGTCCAACTGATAAGGCTAAAAAATTTTTCACTTGTTATTTACAGTAAGATAAATACATTCACCAACTTTTATTAAAATAAAACCATTTAAACTGGGTGTTCGGATTTATATGTCACTTAGTATAATATATCATCGTTACTTGAGGACATTATCGATACAATCCGAACCGCTACCAACGGTTTCCAAATCAAGACTGAAATGCTATGTGGACGATAACATATGAAACCATTTCCAACCCCAACGGCAACGGATACATTCGGTCGCGTTGGCATTGGAGCTTGGTCTATACGCGGCTTTACACCGGATCAGCCACGTAGGTAGAAGCCTACATGCCAGGGCACCGCGGCTGCTATGAGGAGCTTAAATAAATTTCGTTAATCCGATTTTTGAACATGTAGATTGTGTCACAATCTCGATACCCTAGGGACAATGGAGCAATCGTATCGGCCAGTTCTGGATGTACGAAGTTCGACACTGTTAGGATGGGAGGCCGAAGTCAGGCGGGTCTGCCTTCCAGGCACATCGCGTGACGGTAACTATCATAAAAGAGAGCTCTGAGGTGCACAGGCCATTGGCGTAGCGGTAGAAGTGAGTTAGATCGCAGATGGCCCGCCGGTGCGAAAGGGTCCAGAGGCAGCAGCTTAGTAGTAGGCGTTATGGGTTTACTAATAAGTTGCTGAAGAGAAGAATACAGAATTTTTTTGTGATTGTGTGTGCATGTTGCATGTACACGTGTTCCGTCGCTAAGGACCGTGTGGCGTCCCCTCCCTCTTTCAACTGGATCCCCTTATAGCACCACGGTACCCATGGGTGTTTCGCCCTTAGGCTTAGGATTATAAAAAAAGAGCTAGATTGCCGACGGCCCGTCGGTGCGAAGAGTCATCGATCAGTCGGACAGTGCACCTCTGAACAGCTTCGAGCATGGATATTGTAGTCGGGGCTGCAGCACCCCAAACATATGAGCAATACCCGAGGGTAGATCTTATCTGAGCCTTGTACAGAGAGAGGAGGCCATGTCTTTTTCTCAGCAGCTGCCGCTATTGGCGAGATGTGTTCATACCAGATCAAGTTTTCTGTGATCTGAACTCCGACCAGCCGAAATAAACGGCTCTTTGGTAGGACTTGGCCATTCATCGAAACGAGATGAGCGCTAGGACGCTTCCAAGATTGTTGCGTCTCCAAGCAGATATAACCTCTACCTGTATGTCTCTCGTCGAACAGGAAGTCGCTGCTAGTCTCCTTTCCTCCATCTCACTGGCAGATATCGGCTTGCCATTCCTGCATGTAGAGTGCTGTCTTCAGCAAAGCTGTAAAGGTTTAGATTGATCGCACAGGAAAGGAGGTCGTTGATATGGAATAGGGATAATGTCGGAGCCAACATCGATCCCTGGGGAACACCCGCGTTGACGTTATGGAATGAAAACTAGAATCCGTCAATTACGACGGATATCTTGCGGCCAGAGACATCCATCAGCAAAGCTTATCTGAAAGGCCACAGGATGGAAGTTTGCATAGAGGCCAGCATGCTTCAGCTGATCGAATGCTTTCGTGATATCAAGAGCAACGACATGAGGGTCAGCATAAGACTGGATGAGTATACTCTATTGCGAGATGTAAGCTAGGAGGTGCCCTGTGGATTGCTGGAGCCGGAAACCACACTTCCTGTCCCCAATCAAGCCGTGACGTTCGAGCTACTCCAGAAGTTCCTGATTTATCCACATCTCCATCATCGTATAACAGAAAGCATAGCTGTATGCCTCTAGTAAGGGTTGGTCTTACAGGTTTTTTCGAATGGCTTGGACAAATTTCGCGATTTCTGGGAAAATCCCGGATTCGTAACATATCTGGACAAGATGCGAAAACATATCTAGACGAGATGCGAAAGAACTGGAGCAAGCTCCGCTGTACATTTCTTCAATACAACAGCAACAGCTGGAACCAAGTCCGGACCAAAAGCCTTGTTGATGTCGAGCGACCGTCTTACGGTCTTATGTCTGAAAGTTACTTCCCGCTTAGGGTAGGGAACTTTTTGAAACGACGGTACTCGGGCATTATTGAGGGACGTACATGGTGGAGTTGGCAGCAAAAATCTTGACAATCACTTCCGCCTTAGCCTTTGAGTCCGTTACAATCGTTCCATCCTGACGCGTAATAGGTGGAAGTTCCTGTCAATCTGCTTGGCCAACATCCAGAAAGACCGACTGCCATTGCTCTGCGATATTACCCTGTGCCTAACCTTTATCTTGCTAGTCTTTGGCATTGCGGATCACTTATATTTGTTTCTGGACTCGACGTCGGCTTGTCTGTTCTCTACAGTGGGGTTTTGTAAGAAGGTTCAGTGTGCCTTGATCTTCTGCTGAGGAGCATGATCATTTTGTATAAATGCGGTTGCATTTCGTTCATGCAGCGATGGATCTCTTCCTTCAAACCACGAATTTCTATGAGGAAACTAACTAAAATCAAATCGACAAATTTGTTATTGCTACAGGAGTGTGTCATTTCCGGTTTTTTTTTCAAATCCAGTTTATTATCCCATTGATAGGTTCGAATCTTACTATTGGGATCTGGGAAACGGCAGTAGATGCACAGACTGATTAAGGGGCAAAGTTGCGCATTTGGGTAACTCTTATAGACGCCATATTGGATTTTTGCACAGGCGAATAGAATTTTCAATTCTGTATTCTGATTCAAAAAATGGAATATGTCATAAATTTACATTGTCAAAGGATCTATTGATTGTTTTGTTTTTCAGGGGGATTATTTTCCTATTGACGTTCCCTATAATTCAGATATCAGTGTTTGTGAAGGCTGTTGGTGACGACGTGAAGTCCATACCTTTAGCGATTGTGAACGATGAAACGATGGCCACATCATGCCCCAACTTCGATTTCAAAGGAACTGCTGTGCCCTACGATGATGGCTGCCATTTTAGTAATATAAGTTGTCGATTCCTCACATATTTAGATCATCCTATGATACACAAGGTAAGTGATAAATATTAACAAGGACATATGCGCCACTTGGTAGACTCATGATCCAATAAGGAATATAAAGGAGTATCTCGACCCTCACCACTGGGATCGCGAGTCCCTGTATATGTAATTCAAATATTTGTTATTTATTTTTATTTACAGTCTATACTGCTGCAGAAAGTCACCTCCGTTTTATACTCATGCGTTATAAAATTAGAGTAGTAATGAATAATGAATGGGAAAAATACGATGCAAATTTAAAATATCGAAACGTAACGCTGCTGGTGTAACGTCTCGGTATCCGCAACTGAGCGGCCAATCCCTTGTCACTGATTGTCAACCTATCAGTACAGCTTGGATAACAATAGGCTATGAAACTTTGCTGTCAGTGTAAAAACGACGGGCATTTCGGCAGAGAATATCGCATGCAAATTCTCCTGGTATTCAATGGAAGGGTCTAAAGACTCTTATCAAGGCAGATAGTATGCTGGCTTGCTTTACCCATAGTCTTGTTCTCTAAAGGGAAGCCTCAGCTAAGTCCGGTAATGAGTTGGCAGCAAAATTCTCAGATATGGCCCCGGATTTGAGGAAGACATTCCTTAGTCAGCGTCCAGTGTTCGGTCATTATCAGACGCTCTGCTGCAGTATGCTTGTGGCCGAAGCGCCGAAGTTAAAGCCTAGAAAGTCTATGGTTCGACACTTTTGGACCAGATTCCTCCTTCACCCTCTCACCTTTTCGATAAGGTAAAACTAGCTTCCTTATACCAGCGTTATATGATTCCTTTCGTTTCTTAGGGCATTCGTCAGCATCGAACTTCATTCAGGGACGCTCAAATGCTAACTTTCAGCCTAACAAAAACAGACCTTTTAATAAAGCTGCCGCGCCGTGGCTCGAAACCCAGTGATACAGGCTCGAGTGGAAACAGATATTTCCGCAAACAATCCGAAAATGTGCGATCAAAAGGTCACTTCACTAAGAGAGCATAACCTCTGCTCGACACCATTCGTGTGAGCAGATTACAAGTTTTCGTTCAAGTCTGGAGGGAGTTGGGTGCGCCTCAAGCTGTTTAAGCATCATTCAAGATTATTTGATTCCATTTGTCGCAAAATCTCCCCTGGTGCCGTTTTCAAAGAACAATCGTATGAGATTATCTACAAAATGAAAGGATCAAGAGCTCCAGCTGTGGAGACTACAAGGAATCTGAGAATTTGCACAACACGGAAACGGCTTCCTACCCAAAATGTTCTTGATTCCAAAGTTCGATGGATCTTCAAGGACAATATTCAATCTGAAAAGGCTGAACAAGTACCTTTCACTAAGAAAATTCCGTCTGATGAGTCACGTCAGAGTATCTCTTTTTCTTCAGCAGCGAGACTTTATACAAAAACAGACCTTACGCAGGCTTTCTCTCATATACCTGTATACCTTGGGAAGATATTCTGTACCAAATGGCATGTCTCCCTTTCGGCGTTGCAACGACACCTCAAGTTTTCGCCAAGCTCTCCAGCGAGTCAGTTACGAAAGCGAGGCATGCGATTGGTCGTTTACCTTGACGATTTTCTTTTGGCGAATCAGGAAGATAGCAAAACAGCTAGAAGGCATGCTGATTTTCACTGCATATGCCGTCCCACTAGCAAGATTGCATTCCAGACAGATACAGATGGCGAGCAGGCTTCTTCATCAATCCCTTTCTTTGAAACAGCTCCCAGTCCCGTGGTCTGTGATAAAGGAGTGTCGATGGTGGCTCAGGAATCTGTTGGCTTCAACGTCTGTTTTCGAGAAATCCTCAGGCCTTCCTAACGATGGATGCATCAAACCTGGGGTGTGGGGCACATCTGAATGACCTATCTCACAGTCAGCAATGGCAGGCCTACCTGCAGTTCTGGCATATCAATCGGAAGGAGATGTTTACGATTTATGCAGCTTTAAACAGATGGTCGCGCAGACTGCAGGGAAAATCGATTCTGGTTCAGTCCGACAACAAAATAGTTGTTGCTTACTTGAACAGACAGGGTGGCACCAGATCACAATCTCTCCTCAAACTAATGAACAGCCTCTTGTTCTTTGCAAGCAGAAAATAGGTTTCAATTCAAGCCCAATATTTGCCGGGGCGGGCAAACGACCACGAGACATCCTATCGCGGAGAAAACAGATGGCGGACTGGCATTTATCTTTCAAAAATGAGGTGTTCCAGTGATAAATCTTTTTGCGTCGGGTCAAGCGTAGGTGGCTTCCCTTTATGTAGCCCTGGATGTCAAAAACCAAAGAGCACTTTTTATAAATATACCAAGTTTATCAGCATACTTTTGAAACTGAGGATGTATAGTTACGAGAATGAGTAATGGAAGCATGTATTACGATTACACCAGAAATGATACGTGATGTTTTGAATTATACTGATAGAAGATCATATTTATGTTTAGAAAATAATTGCGGACCCGATTTTACTTCATTATTGCATCTTTTTATTACGCTATAGTATCTGATACTAAAATACAAGGTGTTTCCAGAACATATAGTAAAATTCCAAAAGTTGATTCTTTGGGGTATTCTAAAAGTATTGTGTCCTCTGATAATCTTTGAAATACTGCTTCGATCCAGAGATACAGACTCGTAAGAGACGGCCCTGGAAATCGAACATAAATTAAGTTGATCATATTATTTTCCAGTAATTCAATGGAACTTGGGTGTACTAAAAATGTTTGATTTTTTCTAACAGGTGAAGTACGACGACGTGGAGTCAGGAAAGCAAGGCGTCATGCGAGGCCATGTGGCCGGTGTGCTTTATATGTCCAACAATTTCACCGCTTACGCTGAGAAACGTGTTGATAAAGGCAAGGACATAGAAGAGGAAGATCTAGAACTCAGCGAGATTAAAGTTTGGATGGATATGTCAAGTATGTATATAACCTACAGACTTATTAAGACAGTAGAAAATTTTAATAAAAACAGTTGAACTGTTTATTTGATTCGCGGACTCGGCAGAACTCTACCATTCATTAATGAATGATCGGGACGCAGGGCTGGTGACGCGCTTCGAACACCTCAGTTTCATTTGTGATTTTTGCAAGAAGCTTCAGATGCGAATGTTGCTGTTGTTATATATATATATATATATATATATATATATATATATATATATATATATTATAAATTCGCTTTCTGATCTGCATTTGATCTGAAAAGCCCCTGAAGCAGATAAACTATAGCTTGAGAAACACAATTCACATGAAGAATGACCTCAAAACATTAGACGAATATTTCAGGTGTGAACCTTTGGATTATTTTGTCGACCATTTCCGCAATACCGCTTTGTTTCGAACATACAGGATGATCAACATTTTTCAAAAACAACGTTTTATTAGCAAAAATCACACGTGAAGATAATTGTTCAAAATTTTTTTTTCAAAATGGCTAGATATAATCCACTCTAATGTACGAAACTCCCATCTATTAATTACAGACTGCCGCATTTTTGTTGTTAATATTTCATAACTGATCAAATTCGTTTTTGCTGATGGTATATCCCCAAAAGCAAAGATAGTTACCTCGTTTAGCATCCTGCTATATGTTGTGGCATGGGGATTTGGGTTGACCACCTGTGCACTATTCGTGAGTACATAGAAGAATGGGATCTGGATGCCCATTCACTCTCTTATGCTGAATCTGTTATTCGAGCCATTTGAATTGACCAATCACCGTCGAGCTGTCCCCGGTCTTGCTTTCGAGTCACAAGAATTCATAGTCCAGTCGAACTAGGACACTGTGTGATATATAAATGCGTTGCAAACTAAGAAAAAAACGTTCATTCAATTCGGCTCTATTTCGAATAGTAGCATGTCTGTAAGACACCCAGGTGAGAAAAATGTCAATTTTGGCTCCAGATAACTGCAACATCAGAAATTGTTGGCAAACTATCTTCAAAACGCAAAAAACTCAAATTGAGTGCAATTATTTTTTGCGTAAATGTCGGACATATTTGATCTGCCATTTTGAGTTTTGGAAAATCGATACTAAATTCGTTTTTACTTAGCTTTAAACATATAGAACTCATATTGCCATATTGAATTCGCCATTTTGATATCTAATTAGTTGTCAGCGACCAGAAAAGCATAAAAAACTTGAATTCAAGCATGATGCGAAGATTTTTTTTTGCAAATATGTCCACCATATTGGATCCACCATTTTGTTTTTGATAAATGTATATCATATTCATTATTATCAACCCAGAAGTGAATTAAGTTAATTGGAGAAAATTGGTAAATATTTGTAGCTTTAGCCACATGACCAAAAAAAGGTTCAAACACATTTTTGGACTTTTGGACCGCTGAACGGACAGCAACACCGAGCCCACGTTGTCAATAACAATATTGTACGATACATTTTTTTACACCACATATACGTATAATACGTAAAAATTAAAGTATATCTTTCTTTATAGATCGTCAGATCGGTCAAGCGATAAAGTACAAACTGATCGATTTATACCGTCATTTCCAAGAGGACATTTTCAGCGATTGCAAATTTCTACCTGGTTTTGCCAAGTATCCTGTCAACGTCGATTTCTACTATGGCCACGAGGATGATACATTCACCATATATATGTTGCCAGGAAGTCTCATAACGTAAGTACAAGTGAAAATGTTATCAGACACTTTGGTTTAATCATTCGGTATTCAAAAAATGGCGTCGAGTAGGTTAACTCAGCGCTTCCTATGCAACGTTGTCTTCAGTTCATAAAGGGCACAGCAAGTTAAACCCTGTGCAAAAAACTACCTATGAATATGTACAATAGAGAAATTAAACGGATCAAGTCAGTCAAACAGGCCGATTTAGTTAGTCCATATACATTCTTTCTCTGCCATACCAGTAGTTGCCATCCATCTGATAACGTTGCCCATTCCCCTATCGTCAGACGCGGCAGCGCCCACTGAAGCACTGCCGCAGTACGAACAAAACAATGAAGCAGGCCGTTACCCCAGGCGCTGAGTCCAGAAGTTTTAAAGAGAAACGGGAAAATCTATGATTTGTGAAATATTGCTAATAGGTGCATATAATTCCTGCAGGCTCTCTTGTAGGAAGCCCTGAAGGGTTTGAGTATGCTTCAGCAAGTCTTATCTGTCTGTCTCAATGTCTCTTGTAGATGGATTGTGAGATGGTGATGGAGTGAGTCTGCTAACAAAAGGTGATTCTGATAAACCATTGCGCAGGACGGTTTAAGCAGATGAACCTTTCTCATAATTGGCATTTGATGGTGGTGGCTGAGTAGCCCGACCTGATCGTCCAGCCTGTTGAGACGTGTGTATCACATCCGCGTTAGTTGAGTGTTCACGTAGCTCATTGGAAAGCTTCCTGGAGTTACTAGTCGGGGAAAGAAGTGACAGAGCAAAGACCCACTACAGGCGTTGGCTTGAGTCTGCCGTACGGGTGCAACATCTTTCGCCGAGGCAGGATGTTGGGCCCCGATCTCCCTATTACAACTTCCTTAGCCCACAGCCAGTAGCTCGCTTGAGGCTGAACCTCTTGTGCTGACCTTTTGGTGCCGAATCCCCATCGCTGATCAGAGGACTAGCTTGTTGAAGTTTGATATCCTCCAAAGTAGCGGCGAATCCACCTCCCTGCCGGCTGCGAGACGCTTCGTGCAAGGTAGATGGGCTTGACCCCATGGAGACGTATTTGATGTTTGGTCAGCCCTGTTGCCGCCATCATATCGTGCAAGAAGTATTTCTAGTCCGGAACCAAATTAGTTGCGATGTTGGCAAGCGTAAGGAAAACTTCTGATTCGGAATGCGGCGCTCCTTCTGCCAACTACCCTATTGTACTCGACTGGATGGGCTTTCTTGGTGTACAGGTGCCAGGATATGATTGGAATTTCCTGTCACAAAAGCTGTACTCATTCCATCATGGGTGCAATTTACCATCCTCCCCATTTGCTGAAGCTGAGTATTGCACTCAGTGGGTGAACTCTGTATCGCACCGCGTGCAGTAATATATTGTTGGACGATCCGCCGGGTTGATGGAGCTGGCTATTTGGTTTTCCATACCTTCAGATGGCATTCGAACCCTGATGAAAAGATATACGACCTGAAGGGAAATTAAATTGGAAAGAGAAGGGGACAAGCTATTGTAGAGGGATAAGCTTCTCAGCTACGGGAGTTGAGGTAAGGAGTTGTACCTCTATAAATGTGGAGAGAAATACCCAAGAATCATCACCCACTACGGAGTTGCGAGGTCACCTCAAGCAAAACATGCTGCTCAAGAAGTGCGCACTTGGGGGATCCTTACTGATCTTCTAGAAACTGATGCTAGGGGTGTTCTAGACTGCGGTGACACGGTGATCGGTAAATTGCAACAGCTGGAGTTGGGGGGGTGGAAAATCCGATTTCGGAAAAACTGCAGTACGCTAAAAAATAATGAGTAAAAATGTTTACGCTCTATCGCCGCATTCAAGCCTTTTGACTTTTTTCATACCGTCCACAGTTAGTACTTTCTCTGACTGTGGACCACTGTTGTCAACGTTTGAACTGGAGCAGAGAACGGCAACACTGAAAGGTAGAATGGCAGAATATGATCTTCAACGACGAATCGCGATTTTGTCTCGGTACGCACGATGGTCGTAGAAGAGTAAGACGCCGCCGTGGATTAGATTTGCTGTTGAGAGGCATGTACATAGGACTGTTGGAGTAATGCTTTAAGGGTCTATTTTCTACGATAGACGATCACCCCTTTTCTTTGTTCATAGCAATATGACGCTGCGCGTTATGGTGATGGTGTCCTACAAACAACTCACCCTAACTGCTGTATCTAGAGGGCCGTCCACACGTCCTTTTTCAGCAAGACCTCGCACGTCCCCATATTGCTAGTCATACTACTTTCTTCAAGAGGCAGGCGTTAATGTTTTGCCGGATTTGAGTCCCATCGAGCATGTGTAGGATATGATGGGGAGGAGACTATCCACTTTGTACTATCCGCCACAGACTCTGCCTCAGCTAATCCACGAAGTTCGAGTTGCTTGGAATGAGGTGCCACAACCAGACATCTATCATCTCATTTTGACGATGCTTAGTGTATTCAGCTGTGGGGTCGCCCAACACATTAATTTTTTTTTCTTATTACTTGTCAATAAAATGTTATCGTTTCATTCATTGCCAAAAAATCAAGTTGTAGAAATTATTTTTTCTGGGTGTAACACTTCTGATGTCACAATATTTTTTGATTTTATTTATTCGTGATCTTGGAACATATTTCAATTTTGAACCAATAGTTCTTCTACAGTTACAGTTTCAGCGTAGTAGTAATATAATAACAGTAGATACATAAATGTAAAATCTCTATAAAATCCTGGTCGTTGAAACCGCTGGTAGACATTAGAAAAAATTACTAGCATTTCGGCCACTTCGAAGGCCTTATTCAAAGTACAATGTGGTGAACTGCTACAGGAGTGGTTTCATTCAACGGCTAGGGTAACATGGAGATTAGTCAGACATAAATGTCGTTGTACTTTAATTTGCCACATCATTATACTTGTCGAAGAACGATACGAGGTCGCAAAGTAAAAATTCGGTAAGAGTTTCTTTAGCTTCATCGATAACATTTTTCAGGATAATGTTCTTCATGGGTGCCATGATGACGTCGCAAACCATAATAACGGACCGTCATGACGGTGTTTGGGACCGCAGCACAGTAGCTGGCGTCACTTCACTAGAGATAACGTTGACGCACTTCTTACTCCAGGCTGCTGTCACATTGGTGCAAGTTTCGTTAGTTATAATCACGGCATTCGCTGTATTCCAGATGGAATACAATGGACAGATGTGGCTCATCTTCCTCATCGTCTTCATGCAGGGTATATGTGGGATGTCATATGGTAAGAAAATTTCCCCATATAATAAAAAAATAGTTCAAATTAGATTGAGAGACTTTCTAAAAAACAAAAAATTATAAGTGACAACCAATTTGGTTTTCAAAAACAAAAAAAATGCCGTGGAGGCTATTTTCAAATTACTTGTTATACTCAAATTTAGACGATAAACTGATTTCAATTGCTCGTTCTTGTGACTTTTTCAAAACTTCTAATTGGTTGTTAGGGAACTTGACTAAATCAGTTTACCTGACATTTAAATAATCGATCCCAATCCTCAAGGTTCAATACTAGGTCTGATCCTATGTTTACTTTATTTTAACGATTTAATAAATCGAAACATAAATGGTAAATGGCAAGACGGTGATGATGAAATGCAGATGAAATTAGGTAAAAAATTCACAGTGATGTACAATCAATCAAGAAATGATGTGATACTTAAAGTTCAATGTTAGCAAAATAAAATTTATGACATTTAAATGCTCCCTTAATTCTATAAATTTAAATAATGATTTGATACACAAAACAGACACCATCAAATTTTTAGGACTGACCGTTGATCATAAATTAAATTTTACTAATCATGTAGACCAATTGCTTGCTCAACTATCAAAGATTTTCTTTGTTATAAAAACAATTAGTTACAACGTTCTAAAAATCACAGTCTTAAGCAGTTACTTTGCCTTATGTGAAAGTAGAATGAGATATAGCGTTCCCTTTTGCTGTTTGTTCATAAATTATTTAAAAAAATGCTCATTTAACAAAAACGAACTATCAGCTTTATAACTGAAAGCATTCGTAGAGCTACATGCAGCTCTAATTTTTCAAAATAAATGTAAATTTTAGACGTCAAATATGAGTTACAATATTAGGCGGACACAAGATTTTGAATTAGTTGTACCTAAATAAACAGTTGTGAAAGAATCAATCATTTATAATTAACTGAAAATTTACATGTTCCTGCGTGATGATATCAAAAGAATCAACAATTTAAAAATGTTTTGCTGTGAACTTAACAACTTTCTTATCTGTAAACCATATGATACCTTCTATGAGTTCTACAATTCATATACATGAGATCCACATATGTGATTTGTTTAGCTTTGTCATTGAGAATGATTGTAAAAGGATACACAACAAAGCATATTTATATACAGGTATCTATCTATCTGTCTATACCTACTATAAATTTGACTTATCATCTGTCAATGTTAACAATGTCTGAGGGCACTGAAAGTCAGTTTTAGACATGTTTTACTATTTTAACTCAACAAACACAAGAGGTTAGTTCAATAAAGCTCGAGGTCCCATTGCCAAACCTTTGTTGTTTGTTGTATGTGAACTAATATACTCGGATTTTCAATTTGTAGAATCATGGCAGGTTGTAGGGCGTTAATTAAGTTTTTTCCCAGTAAGGACAGGTGGATGTTGAAATAGAATAAAATAAACTATTTGAGAAAGCATTTAAATGAATCTTTGATGTCTTATGTTTTGCGTTATTTTGACCAGGGGTCTGAAAGTCAAATGTACCGGTTGTACCCCGTCCTCCTTCCACGGCATCTAGTGGTCTTGACACACACTATTACAGGTATCATCACTAATTCCGTTAACGTATTGAGAACTCATTTTAAGGGGTTTCGTGCTTCCATGTCATACGTATTAACAAGTTGCCGCTTCAATACTTCAAACGTGCTTCGAATTTCAAAAATTTAGATCTTCTATCTCTTAGACGGTACGCCACAAATAAGTACTTTGTGTTAACATATTAATCTACCACCATATATAATTTATTAATTACATATAAATAAATTATTCCCAGAATGGTTCAATAAGGCAGCAGCGGTGACCGCAGTAGAAGACTCTTCGGTCTCCTGATCAGTCGCCGTGCGCTGTGCGGGTTCGAGTCCCGTCCCAGGAGAAATTTTTCTCTTGGCTATGGATGTTGTGATTGTCCGTAGGTGGTAGATGGTCTCTGACTGTCGAACGCGAAGGTACCACCAGGCGGTTCAGGTAGGCGGAGCCAGAATGTGTGCATGTTGCATGCACACGTGTTCCCTCGCCAGAGACCATGTCGCGTCCCCCCTTTCCCATGTATCCCCCATAGCCCCACGGTACCCAATGGGTGCTTAGGCCTTAGGCCTTCGTGGTAGTTGGAATATAAAAAAAAATAAATATTGCTTCGTCAAAGGATGCAATAGTCGAAGTTTTATTGTATCAAATCGAAGATCATGAAATATAATCCATTAATGGGTAACAGCGACAGGCAATCAGAAACTGAACAATTTCGCAATTCAATTGTACAAGATGATGTTTGTGAAAGCTTAGATGAGGTAAAATTGTTGAGAAGGAAAGTGAAGACGCATTTTTTCTTCGCACCAGTGAATCTTGTATTTGTATTTTGTGTAAATATTTTTTCAATTGCGTACGGTACAGCTGAATGTATTTAACAAATAGTCAGAGTGCCAGCTAAAAAAAGGAGTTTCAAATAAGGTTTGTCAGCCTGTATCATGAAAAGGAAGTATATTTCGAACCCACGTTTATGTGAACTTCTTTTCTTAAAATTACCCAAGTACGCTTGAAGTTTAGCAAGGTACTTTATTAACCCTTTCTGTATGTGTAGATCAATTCAAAAATCCCTCACTTCTGATAACCATCTATTGTTTGTTTTTGTACTTCATTCTGTGCACATCTTTTGTGTCATTTGTCTAGTTTTCTGTAACGCATGGTTCAAGATGGCTCCTGCCATGAAGACCTTGTGCCAATTCTTACTCACAGTGGTTCTTGCCTATACTTGATCTATAGTCTATGATGCTTACTTGTTGACTATGAGAGTGTTGATGTGTTGACAGATTCAGATGGCAATGCATCCATAAAAAGTTATTTGATGTGAATTTTGGATCATCGACGTCACTGCTAAGTCAATTTCGAAAAAAATATTCGTGAGGGCGTAACGGCGATAGCTATATTTCAAATATAGTCATTTTGTTTTGGCCCGAAATGAACAACATCGACATGTGGCTGGAGTACGGCACAAGTATTACGTATCTTGAAAAGTGACATTATGCCGATTTTATTCGACATTGTATTGATTTTTTGTGACATTATGTAGGTTTTTTACAAGATAGCTTAGCACTTAGTTGTACGTGTTGCCTAAACGTCATGAGGCTTCAGTTATCAATGTTTGGCTCTGATGTGCTGTAAACTCTGCTTCAGAAACAGCACTACTGGAGGTCTGAGCTGTAAGTTGTATGTGTTGATGATAATAATAATAATAATAATACACACATATACATGCTAACAGTAATTACACACAACGCAGGCGCGGTGGTGATTTCCCGCAATTTTCCTCAAAGTTCTTCGTAACTTATAACGTTGAACATAACCTCTCTTCAGAAAGCACAACGCAAATAACCCGTCGGGCACAACCAATAGATATATTTCATTGGCAGCATATTCAGTAATGATTGTTTTCACACAGCAAATATCACTGATTTTATTCACATGCAGAACAATACACATTATCCAGATGCGATCTTGCTATTCAACCAACTTTTTTCTCAGAGATAAAATCTACAGATTTCTCGGCTTCACAAAACGTATGCAACCAACAATGCGTGTAGTTTTGTTGAGTCATTCCTCCATAGATAGTCGCTCACAACGATCATAGTGAGCAAACGTGGATTGACTGTTTGCAAGATGTCATTTTATAGGTTTTTTTCGACGTTTTATAGGTTTTTTACATAATACCCATGCGGGGCTACGTGCCACATAGCGAACACCGCACGCACATATTGAGGGTAGAGATGACATTAATGGGTCAGCAAAATCGTGCAAAATTTACGGGTGACCCCATTTTTACAAAATAAAATCACGAAATGGGAACAACATTTACAACATGCAAGCTCACAAGACATAATTATAAAAAGCACAATTTAACAGATAATTTTTAAAGCCTGAGAGTGTACAGGTAAACATGTCAATATTAGACTGAGCTAAATTGATAACTCGAAATGCTCTATCGAGTGGAGAGTGCTGACCATCGGTTGTGGGATGGAACTTAATCGCAAGTAGACTATTATTACATTATTACGCAATGTTCTACGGGGTACATTAAGATTGATTAACGTTAACAAAGTTTCGCAATGGGTGATCCCCAATAAAATCTTGAAAGCGAAACAACCATCAAAGACCAAGCGTCTATGCTCCAATGTAGGTAAACGCAAATGTTCTAACATGTCAGCTCTATGATATTCCGCAATGTTTAAGTTCCTTTTTAATGCTGCAAGACGTAAAAATTTATACTGGACACGCTCTAAATCATCTTTATAACACTGGTACTGAGGGGACCATACTACTGTGGCATATTCTAAATTTGATCTTACCAAGGAGCAATATAAAATTCGGAAGGTATTGATTGAATAACACAGTTTCTCCAAACAAAGCCCAGCATCTGTATGCCCTTTATACTGACTTTGAGAACATGGTCTGAAAATTTAAGCCTTTCATCAAAAAGCACCCCAAGATCCCTAGCGGTAGCCTTATAAGAGAGAGTATAGCCAGTTAAAATTCTACCCCTACTTTTGAAAAAACTTATGAAAAAGCATTTATTAGAGTTCAGATACAAGTGATTAAGCTGTGTCCACTGCCACAGCGCATCAAGGTCCCACTGAAGGTCCAGCATGTCATCTTTCTCCGTTATTGTCCTGTAAATTTTCAGGAACCCCTGATGTAACCTTGAATTTCGAAGACAGACGTCCACCCTTAAGGAAGCTCGCCAACTATCTTATAGTGTTTTCTGAAAAGCCATAAGCTGACAGCTTTGCTAATAGAATGCCGAAGTTCACTCTGTCGAAGGCCTTGGAAAAGTCTGAGTAGATTGCATCCACCTGGTGACCCTTTTCCAAGGCCTCCAACAGATCAACTTTACAAGACACCAAATTCTCCACCGTTGATCTACCCTTAGTAAACCCAAATTGACAGCTACTTACAAGCCCACGGCAATACCAGTTAAGTTGATCATATATCAAGCTATCAAAAGGTTTCGGAATTGATGATTGGGTACATACACCTCTGTAATTGCTAATATCTTCAACATCTCCTGACTTAAAAATTGGCTTAATATAACTGTGCTTCCAAGTGTCAGGAAAAACAAATGTTTGGATGGACATGTTAAAAATGAGATGCAAGGGTTTAGTAAGTCTAAAGATACATTCTTTGAGGAAAACCTCTGGAATTTGGCCAGGACCCGAGCTGAACTTCACTGGGAGACTTACCATTTTATTAAATACTTCGTCAAGAGAAATTTTGTTTAGCAGTATATCTCCTGTCTTCTCAAATAAAAAAGAGGGTACAGGATGTACAGCACTATCATATACACCACTAAAGTGCTTTGCAAACAAATTACTTATTGTCTTCCCATCTTGCACTCTAACTCCCTCTAAGTGCATACTATTAGGTAAGCTACTTGAATTTCTCAAACTCTTTACGTATCCCTAAAAGCGCCGTGGGTCGGCTACCAAAGATTCCTGAACTCGATCAATATGAATTGCATGACATCGCTTATGTTCTTCTTTACATAAAGAGCTCATTCGGAACATTATTGAGTTGTAACATATTGAGATAGGAGAATGTTTCTTCCAATCTACGTGCCGGTGAATTCTCAGGGCAATGGACAAAAGTATCATCATCATTATTCCAAGTTGCCTCCGGAAGATTATAATCACCAAAGATGGCCACGTCAGTTCCTGGACAGATTTCAGAAAGTTCAAAAAGAGATAAACAATGGGATGTTATATTTAACTGATGAAGAATTTGGTGGAACATAGACGGCTCCAAAAATGATGGTTTTCTTGCAAAATTTCACTTCGACAAATAGCTGTTCGACTTCTTCAGAGGACAACAGCAGTTTGCGGGAACACTACACACACACAGCAATAATCACTCCACCACCATGCCCTTTATCACTAGTGGTAGCACTACGGTCCATTCTGAAGACATTGTACCCTTGAAAATTAAGTTCACTGGTTAAGAAGGATTCATTCAGCCAAGTCTCTAGAAGGATGATGACCGAGTAATCACAGAGATTTACTCCCTCCTTGAAAGTATCAATTTTTGTACGAAGTCCACCGACGTTCTGGCAATAACAGATTATCATTTGGTCATCTCGTTCAACTTGTTTTTGAACGAGAGGAGTTATTAATTTTGGAAATGTAGGGAATGCCATTGCGATATCTAATGCCAATATTTTCCTCACCTTTTTCCTTCCTTATTTTCAAGTCACTAAGGAGATTGTTTAACTTTGCCCTCTCTAGTTTAGTAAGATCTAGCTTTATTATTTAATTTGTTCTTATTACGAAGGCATTTCAATGCAAAGAACTGATAATTGAAAATAACCTTAACAGGACTTGGTTTGTTGTTGGGTTTGCCAAGTCTAATAACCTTGACGGGTGCAACCAAATCAACTTCAAGGACACTTAAAATATCAGCAACACACGACTTATCATGATCGATACGCTCTAACGTCACAGCAGATGGGCTTTCATCCATGTTGTAAATAATGATGTTTTTGGCACGAGCACTTCTATCTTGCATTTCACTGTAAAGGTCAATGTTATCAGATGTTTCTGTCAGTCTTTGGACAGTCTCAGCATGAGAATTGGCCTTTTGATCGACCAGAATGTTATCCTGGACAATACTACGTAGCTCAGCTATTTCTCTCTCCAAATTAACAATTTTGTCTCCTTTTCACGTTGCCACAACTTCAACTCATCTAAAGCATGTTGAAATTCTTTCTTTTGCTCCAACAAAAGATTGAAAACTTGCGAAATTGCCGATAAAACGTCTTTCTTAGTAGCATTAGGTTGTTTATCAAGTTTTCGATTTGATTGTTAAACACAATGTCAGATTTTGCAGAGTCGGAAGGAGTGACCGGCACTTTAGATGATGTCCAAAAGGGACAGAACTTAATCCATTTTTTGATGTCTGTGAATTCATGGAAAGTCTTCTAACTTCAACATTTTTACATGAATTACATTGCCAGTCATGTTGGCCCGTTTTCTTATGAAGAGCTGTAATTTTGGTGTATTCGGCGCTAGGTATACCTGAGTAAGCTTTATGGAACCATGAACAACAAACAGAACATTCCACATAATGCTGATTTGTTTTAAAACTGCGATCACATACAAAACAAAGATTTTCCTTGCTCGACGACATTTCCTCAATTCAAGAAAAGTGATTATCAGCAATAAATAAAACTAATTCGCGACGATACACAACACTTGATCAACGAGTCGATATGACTTACTTAGGACGCGCAGTTTTTTCCTTCTTCACCATAACCAGGCGAATCGGGCCCCTAATTTAATTTGAGATCCACTAGTCCAAATATAGGGGACCCGTATGGTGATCTGAATGTTACAACAGCGTTGTCAAGATTTCCTTCGAGGCAGATTTTATGGGGAGGAGATACACGTGAAAATTTGAGGTTACTTGCATGATTATCCCTATAACTTCACTTATATAGCACCTACAGGCACAATTAATGGTACCGCACATTCACCAACACTATAAAAGTAACTTTTGACAAAATATGATATTAAGCCACAATTATTCCCGTAATATCGATTAAAATTCGCAAGAACATAACAACGCGTGATGCGATGTTGCTTATGTCTCTCTTAATTCCAATGTTCATGATATCGGAGGAATCCTATTAAATATTTAGCACTGTACCGCAAATATGTATCATTTTCCGCACTTGTTAGGTAAATAACTATTACAACAGCCATAGAATTAATTCACAATGTGTGGCAGTATATGACCGAATTGGTATGAACGTTTCTATTGCAGCAGGTCATGAAATATACTCAACTGGGACAGTAAAGGCATGGGCCAACTGTTGAGAACACTGCAACAATTCAGATGAAACGAAAACGTCGCATGGAAGCTGATAGCACTTGTGGTTGGGAAATAAATATTCAAATTTTCATGCGTCAAGATGAGCCTTGTTAAAGAAACAAAATGATTGAAATTCATAATGTTATTGAATATGCCCTAACACGAAGCAATCTAAAACGATAAAAGCAAATTTTAGAAATGTTTAAAAAGTGTAACCTCTCCACAAAGATGTTTGATTACCATTAAAAATGATTAGAAAGTTGTACGGGTACACAAACAAACTTTGAGACGATCTGAAAGCTATTTTAATTTTTAACAATAACACCGCTGCTATTTAAAAGATTTTCAAAATTATGAAGTATTATCTACTACGACCCCCATGGATTTACGAAGTTGTAGACATCAAAAAACAAAAAACGTTTATCGGAATTTCTAAAATGTTTGTATTCACAGAATCTCGCTATTCAAAAAATGTCACCTAAATTTATCCGAATTTTCTGCGAGCGCCCATGGTCAATACGTGACAATTCATATTATTCAGTGCAAGCATTTATTTTTCTTTTGCAAAAATCTATATTTCAAAGTTTACCCTCCAATTGGGATTCGCCACTGTCGTATCCGTCGTTATTGGAAAATCCACTAGTACATAGATTTTTCAAAAAAATACCTGATTTAGCTTATTTAGCAAATCCATCCTATATCGTTCAAATTTCAAAATGTTGAAACGAAATATGAAATGTCATGACATAATTTTTTTTTCAGGCTTCTGGGTATCCGTGATCGCCTCTGATCATTCCATGGCGAACACGATACTGACTGGAATTTTCCTGCCAATGATGTTGCTTTGCGGTAAGATCCATGCTTTATTTTTCTCTTGTCAACAAATACTGATACTTAAATCAATTATTTTAACGAATATCTTAGCGTCAATAATTTGACAAGTGAAGGCTTTCTCGAATAAATCTCATTAAAAATATCTGGATAATTTTGAAACAGGCTGTACTAGCTCAATACTGAGACCATATTTTTTATATTCTATTCCACGTGCCGGTCGCGATTTGCTGAATGTTTTTGTAGTCGGGCTCTTTTGACGTTTTTCATAACAGTGCACAAAGTGGTACAAGCTCGGAAAAAGCCTCAAAAACTTCATCTGAAGAAATCCAGAAACTCAGATGATAGTTTCACATCTATTGAAAATTGGTATGTATACAGGGTATCCTGTAAAGCCATGGATCAAACAAAAAATGATGATAGGGGTGATTTTTTCCAATCAGAAAAATCATATATATGTCCTTATCCGATTGTGCACGAGATGTCGCCATTTTTGAGAATTTTTAGAAAATCGCTACTTTTGAGATTGTACTATTTTTTTCTGAAGTTGCCTTTTGCTATTTCTGAGTCAGCTTTGCAGGATTCCAAATGATGTGTCGTTGAAAAAAAAAATTCCTATTTTGTGAACTTATAACTGCCATTGTCAACCTTCTACATTCTTGATAGAGTCTTAAAACGACAATAAATCCTCAACGGCCTTTTGTAATAAAAATAGTATGGTAAAACATGTATGGGATAATAAACTAACCTCAGTACTATCAAAGGGGTGCAGATATAACGGCGCATTTATTTCACTTGTGTAATTCTATTATTATATTCTATATTCTATTATATTCTCCATTTGTGGATTGTGCAATGGATATGCTGGATTTTCCACTGGAGAGTATCGAAACCGATATCCCAGTAGAGCAAGCAAGTTTTCCAAACTGTTGTACTGTGGTACAGCCTGGGAGATTAGAAAGAATAGGAATGCCGAAAATCGACATAGATGCTGAAGACTCTTGAGACTACATTTAATTGTCGATGAGCCTTCAAGTAGTGCGCATCGTATTTCATAGAATGTTGATGTAACTAGTCGATAGTTAATTGGATTCTAAGTAGAGAGCTGCTGCAACCCGTTCCGTACACAACATGAGCAGGCACTTCTTCCAGACGACTACTCAGTGGCAGACCAATTTGGGAGAAGGCTGCTCCAGCAATTCAGACATGCAGTTTTACAAAAAAGTCATGGATGGACTGACAGCTTTCGAAGAACAGGCATTCATATTAACAATTTACACCACTGGGCTCTAGATAATCTACAAATCATGATGTAAGACAACTTTCAACACGAATTTGGAGAGAGCGAAATTGGTTAGACTCATGAATAGTATATTCCCTGCCCAATTTTAATTATCTGGAAAATTTTATGGGAAAACTTATTTAAATCTTTTTCGAAACAACCTATCAAAACTGTTAGATGAGACGTTAGATGACGTGCCTCTAGCAAGCTAGCCACAAAACATTGTGATTCCAGTATAATCGGGCTCATTCCCTCAATTTACATTTAAGGATTTACTCTCCCTATCGTCTAGTCGGATCAAACTTAGAATTCATTTAGGTTTGAAGATGTATGACCCTTTAATTGTTTCCTCATCCTATTCAGCTTGAGGGCAAGAAGATTGACAATCCCAGTTATAGGATTAAATTCGCAAAATAGGAATTTTCCAGATTTAGGGTATCTGCAGAATTTTGTCTATCTTGCGCAAAAACTATTCGGAATATTTGATTAGCTAAAAGATTTTGAAGGTCATAATCTACAGTAGTCTCTCATACTTATGAACACTTTATCTGTCCACTAATTTTTTTTACAGGCCTTGTTGAATATTTTGCAATATTTTTGACAAGACAAAATTACGGTTTAGCAGATTGCTGAACCTACATTACCTGACCTAATTTATTGTTGATAGCTTTTTTAATGACACGTGATTTGGGAACATATCCTGTAAAGCTGATTGAAAAATAGCAAAAGACAGCTTCATAAATAAAATGTAGTTTCCAATGTAGCTATTTCCTAAAGTTAAAAATGGCGATAACTCAAGGCCGTGGACAATCACATGATATCTGTCGTTTTTCTGATTGGAAACAGCCCCCCTACAACAGGAACCGTTTGATCAATGACCTTTGGGACGCCCTATACACGTCGGTCATAGATTTTAGAAACTGACTTGGAAGACAAAATTGATGGAGTAATTTTACCAAATAACTTAAATAGTATGAAAAAACCTTAGCATTATGTTATTCTTTTTTCGATGAGATAAGATCATTATAGGATTTTTCAGGCATTTGAAGTTTTGCTATAACAGTCCATGTCAATACATGTACAATATCACATCATTAAAACCGAAAATAGGACCGTTCACCTATCTGATAATTTCAAGGTCTGCTTCGGAAATTTTGTTTTTAAATACCTAGCCTGGCACTGTTAATGCATCATATATACATTTTTTAAATCAAAATTAGAAATTCTGTTCACCGATACAAAACCCCAATATGACGTCCATAAGAAAAAATAAAGTTGATGACTGAGGACAAGAGAAGAAACGTCATGTTGGAATTGTAATGATGCCATCATGTAGAGGGAAAAAAGTAGCAGTGTTAATGTACCTTTTATTTTGAAATCTACTACTACTATTACTATTACATGCGATGTTAATTTACTTTTGATTTTGAAATCCCATTTCAAAGTCAGAGAAAAATAAAAACGGTTTTGGGTAAAATCGTTTTTTTTTTTTCGTCTACCTCCGAAATTATTTGGACTTGTGTGAAACTTTTTAAATGCTATTTTCATAGTAACCTAAATTTTTCTCCCACTTAACCGACTTCGTATGTCTTACTGTTTCCAATATCCCAATGCTGAGATTTTAATTTGAAACACCTTGTATTCAAAATTATTTGTTTTTAAAATAGGTCTGATGTGGCCGACGGAAGCAATGCCAATAGGTTTGCGCTACTTTGCACGGTCACTGCCTTTCACAATCAGCATCGAGGCGCTCCGCAACGTATCGAAGAAGGGTTGGCTTATTACCAATCCCGGCGTCTACAATGGCATGTGCGTCAGCCTTTTTTGGACACTGCTGTTTGGTCTTGTCTCTGTCTACCTTATCAAAACGAAACGTTAAGTAATCTTATCGTCATTAACACTTTGGGTGGAGAGCAACAAGAGGATTCAAAACTGAATTTTGTTCTAATACTGAACCTGTATAGTTCTAATTCATTCGTATACGGAACCAATTCCACTGCGAATTTCATATATTTTCATCAACAAAGTAACTCATTTTTAAATTCTCTTGGGTGTTCGCCGCCCTTACAAATACATATGATAATGCATTTGTCTCTGAGGAGCCACCATGATTAAATTCAGTGTGGAAAGGCATTTGTCATTAACATGTTTTTTATTTGACTGCTGATTTTTCAACATTCTTAGAACTTTTTTTCTCAAAACTGTATGCTTATATATTTACATTCATTTTCATTAAAATAATGTAAATATTAATGTAATAATAATAAGTTGGTACCATATTAGAGATCTAGAATTATTCAATTTTGACTGCCCTGCTTTATTTCAGAGAGGTAGTTATTGAAATAAAATATTTTTAGATTAAACATGATCGACTATGTAACTCAAGCGATCAGAAAAGTATACTTACAGTGCTATAACCGCAAGATTTTCCATTTTATTCCAAGGAATTCGCCAACAGTCTAAAAATTTGTAAATAAATGTATAACTAATGTTAAGTTCTTTCACATGTTTTGTAATTTAATAAAGACTTGAAATTAGTTACATCTATTTATTTCGATGCACATTTCTTTTTTACACTGAAGCAGCCTCGCAGGCAGAAGCCTAAATGCCATGAGACCGCGGCTGCAGTGATGATCCCAAATAAACTTTGTTAGTCTGATTTTTGAACTACCTAAGGTTAGTAGAACTGGGAAAAGCCTCCTCTAGTAGACTGTTCCACAATCTCGACACTGAAGGGGCAAAGGAGCGGTCATAGCTGCCAATTGTGGATGTACGAAGTTCGACTCGGTTAGCATGCGAGGCCGAAATCAGGGGGGGCTGACTGGCAGGCACAGAGCGGCGGCGGCGGCATCATGGAGGAGAGCTCTGAGGAGCAAATCCCGTTCGTGTAGCGGTAGACGAGCGCTCGATAGCCGACGGGCCGCCGATGCGAAAGGGTCCCGAGACTGTCTGTTAGAGAAGAGTCATCGATCAGTCGGACAGCCCTCTTCTGGTCAGCATCGAGCTCAGACAATGTAGTCGGGGTGGTAGTACCCCAAACATGTCAGAATACTCGAGGCTAGGTCTTATATGGGCCTTGAATAGAGTGAGGAGGTGTTGCGGAGAAAAGTACTTCTTAGCCCTAAACAAATAGCATAGCTTGTCCCCAGCAGCTGCCGTTATTGACGAGACGTGTTCGTGCCAGATCAAGTCATCGGTGATCTCCGTCCAGCCGAAATGAACGGCCTTTAGGAGGGTTTTGTTTGTCAAACAGTATTCTAGATCCTATTCATCTGATTATTTTATGCTGTGTTGCCACGCCTTTTTTATAAACAAAAGGACATGGTGGTGTGATTCCTCTTTCCTATTTTAATGAATTAATAAATTGATAAGTCACGATAAATGAAGTCTAAGGGTCAGCCAATGCAAAACAGCTGTCTAGTAGACCCTAGCTCAATAAAGCGGAAAGTAGGGGGTAAAGAGCGCCAGTGACTCGAGACGGATTAAGCCACAAATCCCCGATATGTTAGTCGGATCTTGTTTTGCTTGAGCACCCACACAAAAGCAAAGAATCTAATAGCAATGACGTTAACGAAATTAATAGTACACCGAGAGCCAAATAAAAAAGGATATTAAGAAAATCACAATATATTAACTGATGACATCAAAATCAAGTACAGTCTAAGAATTTCAGTTGACAATAATCAATGTGGAAATATCTATAAAAGAGTCAATTAAAATGATATTTTACCTGATCGCATCAGGTTTTGTTTCTCAAGGGAAAGGGGTGGCTTCCAGTAAAAGCGGCTACAATACAGCTAAAAGCTGGAGGAGTGCGAGTGATGGTTTTCCTCAATGCATTCTCATTAAAAGGAAGCAGATATTGAACAAACTTCTTCAGGACATGCATCAATGCGTGTGGTCAGATAGTATCAAAAAAGCACTTACAGCTAAAGAGGTTAAAATCCCATGAAAAATGGAGGGGGTAGCACCCAAACCAAGACAATCAAACGCCAAGGAGGTAAGAGAAAAACTCCATAAACTGGTGATTGTGGCCAAATATCCCGAATTCTAGAAATCAAATGAATGGCTGACAATATATCTTCCCAACCAACGGTTCAACCCACACCAATTTCAAGAAAAGGTCCGCAGCCGAACCTACACAAAGAACATCACTGGTCGCCTGAGGGAAGACTTCAGGATCGTATTATTTCCCAAAATAATGTTGCGGGTAAAGGGGTCTACGAGGGACCAACGATATTTTATGAGGAAATTTCTGACAATAAAATATTATAACATTAGTGTCCAAAAGACTTCAACACAATACTAAGCTGCTAAGAAAGAAAGATATGTGTGAAATCACATTTAGGATTAGGTAGTTTCGAGCTCAATAGTTCAATTATTGAATTCAACAAAAGAAAATCATTGAAAAGGGTTTGGCCTAGGAATCGGTACTGAATCGTTGATAAAAAGAGATTAAAATTACTGGTAAGTGATCAAAATAGTAAGAAAAAGATTACGTGATTTTGGCACGTTACAGTATATAGGGATGACTAAAAGACAATGCTATCATCCTAGAGCATTTTTTTTCACTCATAACTTGTTAACAAATATTATATCTGAATATTCCAGTTTTATAGAAGAATTATATTCTTATAACCTTTTCTCTTCGAAAAGTCTCTTTCTTGAAACCTTATTTTGTATAAATTGCGTTTTCAAGAAAAGCGGTTTTTTTGAAGATTGAAAGTAATAAGGAAATAAGTAATCACATTCTTCCATAAAAGTATTCACATAATTTTAAGGGATTAACTATTAAAAAGCATAAAAAAGCGCCACCAAACAATCAGACGAAAAGTATCAAGAATATTCCTCCAGACAGGCTATTGAAAAAAGACATCCGAAGTTAGGCTGTTGATTTTGATAAAAACAAGTGAGAAAAGTCCCACACTGGATTATTCAACCTTCGGTGCACTTTTAGGTTACACCTAGGTAACTTTGTAATCGTGCAAAATTTCAACAAAAACGATTCAATGGTGTCTAAGATATGTTGGCGTGTTTACATGAACCCGTACATTCATCAAAATTAATTTAATTTTTTGTTATTTTTACATATGAAACGGGTCCATTTCACCATGTGTACGGTGTACGGAATACCCTGTATAATAACGGCGGACATGACACGAGGAGCTAGCTATGTAACATATCCAAAGATGTCACCAAGATAGGAAGTGGAACAGAATTTGTAAACGTAAGCAAATATTTCTTTCATTTATGGAATGCAAACGAGTTTTTTGTTATATGAGGAAATAAATGTCTTTCTGGCGTGCTGATAAAGATGTAAAAATATATTTGTGAACGGGTCCATTATCTAAAGAACGTAAATCCATAACACGTTTACGTGCATTAATGGTGAAAAAAATTATATAATGACAATATATCACAAAATAATTGAAAGCTTTATTTGAAAATGACGATCGGTCTGAACAAAATATTGCCAATAAACTTAGCTCCGACGCGTAGGAGATCAAGCAGGTCGCGCACTGTTGCTACGGTAGAATGATCTTGGGTAGACATTTTTATTTCCGTGAGGCGTGTGTCCTGGCACGAGATGCAGCCTAGCTCGGAGGGGCGGACGTGAGGTCGCAGTCCTCCTAAAATAGCGTCTGTTCCAGATGCCTCATCGTTGATCAGTTGTCCTTTGAACCACAAGCGGTCGGTTGGCTTCAATTTCAAGAGGAACGACCTGGAAAAGAAACAAGTCGATTAGATGTTTTCAATATATGACCCCTTGGCTAATGTCGCATTTTGATAGGATGAAAATGCAAGTGACGTGACGTTGTGGCAAAATATAATAAAACAACTTGAAAATATTATGTATTTAGAGTTCAAAAATTGCTTAGATGAACAAGAACTTGGACCACACCAGCAATCAGATTTTAGGGAATGCTACAGTACAACTTTAACGCTACTATCCACAACTGATGCTATTTCACCACATCAGACAAAATGCTACAGCTCTAGTACTTTTGGACCTTTCAAATGCATTTGAAACAACAGGCAGCAGCGGTGGCCGCAGTAGTAGACTCTTCGGTCTCCTGATCAGTCGCCGTGCGCTGTACGGGTTCAAGTCCCGTCCCAGGAGAAATTTTTCTCTTGGCTATGGATGTTGTGATTGTCCGTAGGTGGTAGATGGTCTCTGACTATCGAACGCGGAGGTACCACCCGGCGGTTCTCGTAGGCGGAGCCAAAATGTGTGCATGTTGCATGCACACGTGTTCCCTCGCCAGAGTCCGTGTGGCGTCCCCCCCTTTCCCATGTACCCCCCTATAGCCCCACGGTACCCAATGGGTGCTTAGGCCTTAGGCCTTCGTGGTAGTTGGAGTATAAAAACAATTTTAGTCGTGAATTGCTTTACACCGAAACAACGCGCCGAAATAGTCGCAATGTATATTGAAAATCGTCGTTCAGTTGTGTTAACGCAACGTGCATATCGTCGAAAATATCGTTGCAACACTATCCGTCGTTAGGCTTCGAATTTTCTTGAGTACGGGACAGTGAGAGATCGTCAACATACCGTTCATCAACGACCAAGACGTTCTAATGAATTGGTTGAAGCGGTCAGAGACAGCGTTGCCCAGAACCCAAAAGTGTCGTATACCGTGCTTAGCATTTTGGCATCAGTGGAACCACGTTGCGGTGCATTTTGAAGGGTAATTTGCAATTGTTTCCTTATAAGGTGCAGTTAACACAAAAAATATTGCCAACTGACCGTCCACGTCGCTTGGAATACGCCCAAACAGTCGGTCGCATGGTTGATGCTGAACCTGATTTTTGGAAGCAAATTGTGATGACCGACGAGGCCCATTTCACGGTCTCTGGCGGTGTTAATAAGCAAACCTGCCGCATTTGGGGGACGGAAAATCCACATGAGATCCACGAAGTGCCGTTGCATGACCGAAAAGTGACTGTTTGGGCCGGCGTTTGCGCCAAAACCATCATTGGGCCATTTTTCTTCAACGAAACGAAACAGTCGATGGAAATCGATATCGGTGAATGTTGGCTCATTATGCCTGCCCACAAAAGCGTGAAAAAGGTCTTGATGGTTACTGGTTTCAACAAGACAGTGCGTCATGCAAGAAAAAGAAACAATCAGGTTTCTGCAACGAAATTTCCCTAGACGCCTGATGTCAAAAAGAGGTGACATTGACTGGCCACCGAGGTCTCCAGGTTTGACCCCACCGGACTTCTTGTGGAGTTATTTGCAAACTCAAGTATACGCCAGCAAGCCCCAGACCACAGATGCTCGAAAAAGTAATGGAAAACGGGGCAAAACGGGCACATTTTGTTTTGGCGAATAAAGGCCACTTGATAGATGTTCAAAAACTAGTCCCAATAAATTGTAAACGACCATATTTAATAAAAATACCCGATATATAGATATCAGTTTTTCGTTTTCAAAGTTATTCCATGTTTACATACCGACATAAAAGATGGCGCACCCTGTATAATAAATTTGTTAATGATTATTCAATTTTTCTATTCACGTTCTAAATGTTGTGGATGATTTTTTATTCTAAATATAAAAATAAGGACCAAATATGAATATACACGGTGGCCCATATGTAACTGACTGGTGTGTATTTTGAATATCTGTGAAATGAAATAAATACGTCCACTTTTTTCATCTTAACCTTTTATTGAAACTTAGAAATCATGTATGAAAAATAATATCAGACAAATGTCCGCATCTAGAAGTCGCACAAACCTGAGCCCTCGTGATTACATTTTCCATTACTTTTTGGTAGGTTTCGGGAGGAATATTTTCAATCGCTTCCGTAATATTGTTCTTCAGTTGCTCTACAGTATTTAGTTTGTTGGCATAAACCCCATTTTTCAAAAATCCCCATAAAAAAGTCGGGAGCCGTTACATCCGGTGCTGTGTGACAAGTTGCTCCGTCCTGCTGGAATCACTTGTTTTGCAGTTTAAATTGTTGGATTTGAGGAGCCAGAAAGTTTTGCACCCTATCACGGTAACGCTCGCGAGTGTCAGTAAGAGAATTACCTGCAGGGTCCTCAAAGACACCTCCATACCAAACACCACACCAAACTGTGATGGCACGAGGGTTCTCTAATGCCCTGATACAATTCTGCTTATTAACGAATCCGTTTATATCGAAGTAGGCTTCATCGCTCATTATCAGTTGTCGTTAAAAATCGTTATTTGGGTATTTGTATGGTCGCAAATGCAAGTCTATTTTTAAAACAGTACATAATGACGTGCGAAGAATACCCAGTTCTTGAGAACGATGTCTGGCAAGACGTCTCAGGGTGCTCCATTGCACTTTCACGAACAGTTCGAACACGACCCGACCTTGGCAAGTCTTCAACTTTTGTTCAAATTTCCGCACCAACTGACGAATGATGTTGACACTAGTCACATTATTTCGACCGAAATCTTGTCGTAGCTTCCGAATCGTTGCAACAATCATCTCATTATTTAAGTATTGGAATGTAGATTAGTAGATGAAATTTCACTCTGGAATCTGTGAAATCTTATTTTAAGAACGGCTAAATTATTACAAAGTTATGTAATGACACTTGCTGACAGCCGACTAATTTCTAACTACGTTTTTTGCGACGGTTATAATTATTATAAGAGATCCTAGGGATATGGGGTAGCATTTATCAGGAAAAATATACATTCTGCAAATTTTGAGCAGTTTTTGATAACCAAATAATGAACCATGAGAATGACAAGTGATAGAACCCTTATTTGCAAGGTTTTGAGGTCGGGAAGAAAAGCACACTTTTGACGTTTCAGAAGGATTACTTTGTTCTATTTCCGAACGCAAGTAACATGTAGGTCAAGCAATTACGAACGCTGTCTAGGTATGCACGATGGTCGTAGAAAGGTAAGACGCCGCCGTGGAGAACGGCATGATATTGGAATTGCCGTTGAGAGGCATGTACACAGGACTGTTGGAGTAATGGTTTGGGGGGCTATTGCCTATGGTAGCCGATCACCCCTTCTCTTTGTTCAAGGCAATATGATTGTTGCGCGTCCCCATATTGCTCGTCGCACTACGGACTTTCTTCAAGAAGCCGGCGTTAATGTTTTGCCGTGGCTACCCCGTTCACCGCATTTAATACCCATCGAACATGTGTGGGAGGATACTATCGACTTTGCACCATCCGCCACAGACTCTGCCACAGCTAATCCACGAAGTTCGAGTTGCTTGGAATGACGTGCCACAATCAGACGTCGATCATCTCATTTTGTCGATGCCTAGACGTATACCGGTGTGTATTCAGCTGCGGGGTCGCCCAACACGTTATTAATTTTTTTCTTATTACTTTAATTTCGTGAGAATGATATCGTTTCATTCTTGATGTAAGTCTACCTCATGTCGAAGAAATATTTTTTTCTGGGTGTAACACTTCTAATGTCATTGAGTATAGGTTATAATAGGTTGAGGCCCAATTTCACCAACAACAGTCCGTTATTCTCCACCTATAGGGTAACAGACCGTCAGATACAGCGAATTAGCTTCAAGTTCCAATCAACAAATTTTAGCAACCAATAGCTATGAAATGTTGAAAACAAAATACTGTCAAAGTATGAGATGACATCCTGTCATTGAAACATCACCAGCTTATTGAATATTAAGAAATTACATAATATAATTCAGTCAAAATTTTAAGAAATGTTTGATTTTTGAATTAAATTCATGTTTTAATTTCTATTGTTGATTTTTTATTCATGTTTATATTATTTTCTTCAATTGATATGTGATACTGGGTGTTTTTTTCTATAAACCTCTTGCAGATAGCCATTATGCACCTACTTGATGACAGGGTCTACCAAAAGGTATTGCTCATTTCCAAACATTCATTCATTTACTTGCCGTTCATCAGAACCATTATGGCACCTTAGATTGATATTCCCACAAAACCATTCAGGTTTTTTGATATCCATACATCCATAAAGTTGAATATTTTTCGTTGTTCAGGAACTGAACAAACATCCACACTATATTCACAGCGATTAATAAATTCCCAAATATACGCCTTAAACCTAAAACCCGCAAAAAACTACAAATTTGCCATATTTTTATTTTTTCACGAGTACACATTCTAGGTTATATTTATATTAGACATTATTTGAATACAGCTGATTATTGCATTTCAAGGAGTGACACATATGTGGGATCTGTCAACTCTTGGTACCAGTCACAAAGCATATTATACTCTGAAGGTTTATTTCCATGCTATTCAATGACAACACGGTGACTTGCGTGGTTATCAGCGGCCATTTTGTGAGGGTGCGACAGGGTTAATATCCCGCTTCACCCTCCTGGTCCCAGTAGAGTAAGTTCCGCCAACTGTTGAAATATACTCTACTATGCTTTATAAGACTATTCGTGACATTTTTTCCAAAATCATTGCACAACTCTTGAAAAAATGCAAATGAAAATTTAAAATTATTTCCTTGACGCCGCAATATAGTTCCGTCGGTGCACTGATTGCAACTGTTAGATGATACCAAAAATATTTTCATAAATAGGAAATCTTTACCATTCCGGATCGAACAATCTACCAAAGAAACTTATAATCATGATTCCTAGTAAATTTTTACGAAAAAAATTCAAAACCAGCAAATGTAAAAGATTTATTTCGCACCCTCCACCACGGGACGTGATCGTCGTTAGACTTGGCAACCCTGCGAGTGCCAGATAGATATCCCCGCCAGTCAAAAAAGAAAAATAGACAAACAATAAGCATTACTAGTTTTTTTGATATTTGAACTTAAAAGCCATTATCTGTGAAACATTTTTCATAATTTTTTGTCTATGTCCATAGTAATTGCATTATGCATCAGGGAGATGTAGGGATTGACACACATATTATCTGTGTTTTAGGATGGAGAGGACATAATGTTTTTATTGCTTTGAAGAAATTCATTATCCCATAAATTAATAAATGATTACTATTATGACGTAAAGGAAGATTAGGAATTGGATGGAATGTATTTTATATTCTATTTTCTTGCAAAATATAGACAAATCCACACTATTCAACAGGTATGTAATGCTAACTTTCAGTATAATGAAGTTGGTAAATTCAAGTGTGCCATGCATTAACAAATATCCAAATCTGCTGCCAAATTTAACAGCTAGAAACTCGACCTATTACTTGCCCCATTCCCATTCGCTGAGGGGATAACGGATTGTTAAATGTAAACCTATAACATATATCAAAATACATGAAAGTTGTCCTGTTTTTTTCTGTACAAAAGCATCATGTTGGAATCAAAAAGTGGTCTTGTTTATAATACAGTCGAATTTTTACGATTTTATTTAATATTTCAATAGTAATCACTAATATTCAGAGACCTTTGACAGCTTCCGTCAAATTGCATTTCGATAAGGTATTTTCCCATTGGTCCATAATATTAATGTTGGTGAAATTGGCCCTAAGTTTGTCAGTTTCATTTCGCTTTGCGGAAATTTATCATAAACAGAAAAGTCATCTCTGGAGATCTAAGCCAGACGCTTGTGATGTCACCACAATCAAGAAGTTGAATTTACGAACACACGGATATTTTGGTCTTATGACATATTCAATGCCATCAACTAATAGTAATAGTAATTGTTGAATATTATTATTTAATACCTGAAGAAATCATCAGCGAGCAGGACAACTTCTGGTGCTTTGCTCCACATTCCGGCGGCCATTCTGACAGTGACTTCAAAGGTGTAAGTGTCATATTTGCTAAGAGTACAGTCGTGACCATTAGCTGATCGTATTGCATCATGAAACGATTCACAGTCGTCTTTCGCCAGTTCGGAGAATTTTGAGCAATTATCATGAAGCTGAAACAAATGGGTAAAATATTATTTGGCCGAGGTCATTTTTTAACATTCAAAATTTTATCGACAATTTATTTTGTACTTGATGTATACATATTCAGTTTTCAAAGCTGTTGCAATTGAACAAAGCATAGAAGAGGAAAGGTTATTTCATCAGTGAGTTCATATCTGAACGACTTCAACTCATCGATTGAGCCTAAACCGCATTAACGTTGTGTTTGTATAATCATACACATAACCAGCAAAAATTCATATAGCCTACACGTACGATTCGATCAGCGTTGTTTTTGGTGCAGAACTTTCCGATGCCACCGGCAAATTCTGCATAACATTTGTTCTTAGTCCTAATCATGGACGAATATGAAGTTTCACGTTCAACATATTCACGTCGCATGTCCCTCTTTGCAAAAAGGGAGTTCTTAATACTTTTCGTCTTATTGTTTCATGGTGTGTATAGAGAAGGGTGAAAAAACGATATTATCAGTTTTTTTATCATAAATGGATTTTTTGTGCATTTACATAGTACAGCTATAAAATTGTATGTGAACATTCCACTTTTATGGAAGAATGGAGTGGGTGATTACTTGTTTTCTTATTACTTTCTGTGTTCAAAAAATCTTTGATATTCTTGAAAACCCAATTTGCTGCAAGATGAGGTAAAAATCAAAGATTTGTTGAAACACTGTGTTAATGCATATTAGTTAAGATCGGAAAAACAAATAAACTCACCGATTCCTTAATAATAAAGGACCCAGGCCGATAAGCAGTTATTTAATCCTATTTCTTTGGAAAACGTACCTTATCTCCATACCAGCAGTATGCATAGCTGGCCAACTTTTGAGGCAACAACGTATCAAATAAAGTCCTGTATCCATTTTTGATGCTACGGATCTTGATCTCATTGACGTAACCATTCCAATGCACGACACTGCCCATCAATTCGTGACACTTTGTCTGATAGACAGCTATGTTTTCATCCTGCCACACCGGCTGATGGCAGAAGCGTTGGAATACCTCCCACCTGAGCGTCTGCATCCAGAAAAAATAACGATTTATTAGGTTAATTATATTGCGAGGGAAAGTGCCGTAACGCAAAACATTTAAATCAATTAAATGGTATCTAGATACACTTGGCGAGTACCAAATCAGAAAAATACTGTTGTGGTTCTATAATCTATACTGTGTTCGAACTAAAAAAAAAAACTTTGATTTCCCGGTGTATTTCACTCGATTAGTTTTTGATGGAGTACTCATTTACACGAGACTTTGTTGGTTTCCACCGCCTCAAATGCTTTTTTAGTTTTCCTAATAACCGCTGTCAATGTTAGCTACTACGAGCGTGATACTCCCCCATGTTTGTCTGGACAATCAAAACCTCATATACCCCATTTCACGAGTAACCATTACGTTTTGACGTCTATTGAAGTGACCAGATGATCAGCAAGTGACATCTTCGTATTAGTTTGTAACGATGGCAATAATGAATCGGGCGTGAATCTGGTAACATTCCGGACCACCTTTAGAGCTGTTGTTTACATATCTAGATACTTAAGTGACTTGAAAATTTGACAATAAAATATACGAGTTACACATAGAAAAATATTTATCTGAAAATTATAATAGCCCAACTGGATTTTATTGATTACGAGGTACGTCAATAGAACATAACGTATTGTCCTTTCCAGAACATGTAATTTTATATGTAAAAATAATATAGACCCGTGTTTCTGGTTAATTGTGCGTCATCAGTAAATTGTAATTCAAATATGACTGTTTCATTGACATTTAAAATGATATGTGTTTTAAGTTCTAAAAAGTAGAGATGATTAACAACTTCAAATATGTTTATCTTATTTTATTCCTACCTGACTTGAAATGTAGTCATTATTAGCAGCCGTTTTGCTTGTGGTGTTTTTTTTTTTTGTATGCAAAGGAAATTTTCTAACTGAAGGGTTGTTAGCAAGTACAAAATAAATCCGTAGGGTACAAAAAGTACAACAAAATACGGATCTTTTTACCTGACGTTTACGGATCCATCAGAATTGTGTGTCACATTGTCCATAATTAGCTATTATGCTATCGCGCACTCATGAAAAAAAGGCATGTTTAAGATACCTCTTTTAGGTCCCAATGATGACCTTCTTCAAGTTCAACTGGCATTTATTGGCATTATATTTTATTTATCATAGGATAAGTTTCAGATGTTACATTTACCATTAGCTTATTATAGGGACGTAATTGTACAGTAAAAACCTCAAATAACTTTGAGAAATCTTGCTACGACATTTTTTGTTCAGAGTGAGAGAAAGCGTAAGGAAAATGGCTGAAGTATTTATTAACAAAGTATTGCAAATATCTCAAAAAGGGCTTGTTCAATCCCAGTAAAGGTACGAGTACCTTTTCACCTTAAAACGCTCTGTGATAAAAAATAGAAACTAATCGTCTTCCTCATCCTAAAGAACCCCCATACTCAATATTCATGTCGATATCCCAAATATGGTTTGAGCTTGAGAAATAACGATTTCTACCCAAACTTCACCACCTTGTATCTCATGAACGAGCGATAATTTGATAAGGCATATTGGTTCAATAACATTATGTTCATCAGGATTACTTTTTGCATTGCAATTATAACTGGTCATGATGTATAGGGAGTCTCTTAATGATGTCGCACATTTTTTCAACAGTTTGTTTGAAAGAGTATTCTTAATACTTTCTTCATATTTGTTTCACGGAGTGTATAGAGATTACTGAAAAACAATGTTATCAATGCTCTCGTCTAAGAATTCATTTTTGTGCAATGTTTCTACCATTGTAACTTGTTAATAAATCATAGTACAGCTGTGAAATTGTATGAGGATATTCCATATTGATAGCAGATTTGAGTATTCAATTACTTTTTTCATATCGTCATCAAAAAACCTGCTTTTCTTAAAAACTCAGTTAGGTGGAAAACGGGTTATCAAGAAAAACAAAGCTTTTTTGGAAAAAAATGACAAGAAAAAACTACTCAAATATACCATAAATGGAACATGGAAAATTTTACCCAAATCAAATCTCGATATTTTCAGAACGGAAAGAGATATCAAGTTGCGGTATTCGGGAGGTTCTGGACCAACTCTTTGAGAACACGCACAGGGTTCGATCGGTATATTTCTTTTATTTATCCAGTTATACAGGGTGAGGAAAGAAAGACAGGTTTTATAGCGAGGTTTGGGGCTATGTCAGATTCTCAATTTTTGATCTTGGAAATTTTTCTATGCATAATTTTGATCTTTGGACTATCCTAAAAAATAATTTTTCAAATTTTTCGAAAGTTGGCTATAACTCAAATTTTCGAATTTTAAAAAAGTGTTACATTTATTTTTAAAAAAGACTTTTTTCGAGGTTTCTCTTGAGAATTTTTCTCATACTGTTGCATAAACTGAAATTTCTTGCGCCCGAAAAAAGATGAAGCATTCATTGTGCAGTAAAAATTTGCCACTTTGACATTATGTAATTTAAACCTTGTGTATAAATTTAAATATGCAATCAAACCGCTTAATGAACAAATCCAAGTGACTACTCTTATTATTTTCAGTCATTTCTATACACACCATAAAACAATCAGACAAGAAATGTTGATAAAATGGATGTGCGACCTAAAGCCCAGTATTTCATTTGTACGTTAACTGCTAACCAGAGCCGCTTTCCAGTGCCTCAAAAACAAGTTGCCCTAAGTGCAATTTAGGGATGCATGTAAAATGTTTTTTGCCCTTCCGAACTAAACCTTTATGTTCGCCTATGTGCCTAGTGTACCATATTTTGTACAGCATTTTTCTTACACTTTTTCCTAAAATAAAATTTAAAAAATAATAAATTATCGAATGAATTTGCAGAAAACATAATTTATTTCAGCTTTAGGCATATCAGGGTTAAAAACCGGACATAAGAATATACTTTATTAAAATTTGTCGTTTTTTCTTCTTCAAATCATTTTCGGGAATTAGTCACATGCAGCCCGTCGCTTATACGGACGAATCGCTTTTTAAATATATTAGAATCATTACCTGTTCTGGTTTCTTTGCGTGATGCTCAAGATGCTGCTTTTCCTGCACAGGCGCCGATGTAACGAGGAAGCAGAACGCAGCTACCATGAGCACAATCTGCACAACTGCAGTATATCTGCTGTACCTAGTCTTCGCGAGCAGGTAGCAGACGGCGAGTCCAATACCACTCAATGCGACGAACATGCAGACAGAGTAGATGAGGTTGGTGGATGCAACCAGCCATTTGGTGAGAGCGAGAACTGGTAGGAGAACGCTAGTCACTCCAAGCATAGGTAGGAAGAGAACCACGCCGACCAAAGCCAATGTACCACGTAGTATGCCCAGCATGGTTGCGGCTTCTGCGCTTATAATGCATACCTTCAAAGAAACCATGTATTTTAGAAGGTAAAAAATGATGGAAGAAAGGTCGCTGTAATGTTTTATATCTAAAACTGATCCATAAATCGGAATTGTAGTTGTTGTATCTTGGAATGTAATATAACGGAAACACTAAAATCACTAAATAAACTATTACTAAAATTTAAAAGGTGATTTAAGAGAGGTCGCGGAGAGTTGCCAAAAAGCATGAAACTGCTGTTTGGGTGGGACGGACGAAAGCAGCACGCTTAGTTGTTCAATGGTGAGTAGACCATATCAGATAGTTAACCACAGTATCTGGCTAAAAAACTGAGACTTTTCGGCTTCTCTGACATTATGGTGTCTTGCTTTGTAAGTTTTTTTTCTGATAGACCAACAGGTGCGGATAGGCAGCGCAAGGTCTCGCCATATCAGTACTTCATCTGGCGAACCTGAGGGTGGTCATTGTTCTCCGTGACTCTTTAATATCTTTATAAATGACATTTCAGTTTGATTTAAAGACAGTAAATTTTTATTATCCGCGGATGATCGAAAATTTTATGGGTAGGACGGTTCTGAGCAGGATTTGATTTTGTTTCAAAATGACTTTACAGGCTAAGTGATTGGTCTTTTAATAACGATTTATCATTAAATATTGTTACTGATTAATTGACGTCAGCACAAATAATTATTCTTATGTATGCATATTTTGCGATCAAATGCATTCGATGCATAAAAAATATAAAAAATACAGTGTAACATCCGGTAAAAATTCAAGGGGTTATTCCTCGGCCTATTATAAGAATATTTTGTCATATGATGATTTCTGAAAAAAACCTTTGTTTCGAAGATGGAAGGTGAACAAAATTTACGACAACAATTTTGATATTTGTTAAAATCATTAATATAAATGAAAGTATGTCGTACGCCAATGAGTCTAGCAAGTACAAAAAATTGTTGACGATATCGTGGAACGGTTGTTTCATCTACTAACGTACAAGTGGATTTCATTTAAATACGTCTCGTAAGTGATAATCACCGGTATCGGTCGCAGTTGTTTACATTGAGTGACGTTTGGCTGTTTGACATACCTTTAATAGTTAGTGAAGCCCTATACCTGATAACGCCGAGATGAGTGACATGCACTTCATGTATGGACTTGGAAGCAGCTAGATGACTGTACAATGAACGGTTTCCTTGCCGTAATATCGCCGACCGAAAAATCTTCGAAAACATTCATCGACGTCTTCGTGAAACAAACAGGTTGAAATGAAATGGAGGGCCAGGAAGATTAATGACAGTAAGAACAGTACAACTGGGAGAGAATGTGCTGCACATGTGATACAGCAAGATCCAAGTACTTCTACGTGAGAAATTGCCAATACTATGAATTTAAGTTATTGGAATTCCTAATAGCAATTTGTTGTATCCATATCACCTTCGACGTGTTGTGGTGCACCACCACATTTCAGTTTGGTTGCTCGTGATTTTTTAATAGCAACATATGGAGATCGCTGGATTGGTTGAGGTGGGCCAAACGCATGGCCTGCTCGATCCCCAGACTTAAGACTCCAGGATTATTTCTTATGGGGGTCCCTGAAGTCATGGAATTCGCTTCAGTGGGGAATTTAGACGAATTGCGAAATCGGATAATTGCTTAGTGTAACTCAATTAGAAACAAGCCTGGTGTGTTTGAAAGAGTTCAGCACTCAATGACAAGAAGATTGAATGCTTGTACCCAGGCTGAAGGAAGTCATTTCGAACATTTATTGTAGATTGAGCAACTTTACATGTACTTTTTTGATAATAAAAGGTTGTTACTTTCGCAAATTTTGTTCACCCTGTATCTTCGAAACAAAGGGGTCTCATCATGAGTCAAAATATTCTTATAATGCGGGAGACGTACGTAAGTATATCTATTAAGTATTCTGGCCCAAAGCATGAATTTAAGTGAGAAAAGAGAGATTTTCAATAAACGTAGTGAGAAATAGTGAATTCATACATAAAAAAGTTAGTTTATTTTTTGAGAAATTGAATATCATAATGGCAAATTCAAACGAATATTATAAATAAGAATGTGTGAGAAAACGAGAATAACTCATATAAGGTCTTTGTTACTGTTTTATTGACGTCAGCAAAAATAACTATTCATATGTATGCATATTTTACGATCAAATGCATACGATGCATAAAAGGAATATAAAAAATATAACAAATTCTTGTAAATGCGGAAGACCTACTTATATTAATTATGTATTCTTGCAAAATTGATTGAACCTAATTTTTAGCGAACAAATATTTGATATAGTTATTATAGATGAGTATTTTTACACAATAGTTGTCTAACTCAATCATCAGACCGTCAGAGAACTTGTCATTAGTAATCAAGCAAGGCTCTATTCGATGGGTTCCCATGGCCACTTCCTGGCTTCATCATCAGATCATCTCAATGTCATAATAATATTGCATTGTCAATTGTCATTTTAACATATTGGTTTAGAATTACGTCACTTTGCTGATTGTGTTTCTTTCTTAAATCCTTTTCATTTGATTTCCATAACTTGGGAGTGACTATGGAAATTACAAATCGATATTTTGCGGCGGTCGCCATGTTGAACCTAGAATGACGCCACGTTGCTTACTGTATCTCTCTCATCAAGCTCTTTCAGTCGACAACCATATCATAGGGGTAACTATAGAAATTTTAAACGCCATCTTTCGGAGGTCGGCATACTTGATTTGAAATGCTTATTGTGTTTATCTCAAGCCCATTCATCTGATGCCCACATTGGAGGGGTGACTATAGAAATAAAATAGAATAAATAAATCGCTAAATTGCGGCCTCAATCATATAGGTGTTAGAATTACGTCAGTTTGCATACTATGTTTCTCTCATTAAGCTCTTTCATTTGATACCCATATCATATACTATGGAAAAGATTAATCGCCATCATGTAGCATACGCCATGTTAGATTCAAAATGGCGGCAGTTGATTCATTATGTATTGTCGCACTTCAGTAGAATATGTACAGCGAGAGCGAAAATAGTGAAAAAAGTGAACGTTTTCATCGAAAAGTGAGTAAAAGTGAGATGGATCGAAAAAAGCGAGCAAAAGGGAAAAGTGAGTCGCCAGCATCCCTGTATTATATGAATAATTGCCTAGCCCGTGAAAGAGTGCAGAATAAATTTAATAGGTTTTGTATTTACAAGCTTCGTATAGGAATTCCTGATCATCATACCTATACACTGAGAACCAAATTTGTCTGAAGGCTTGAGTTCAATGTGTACGAGGGAGAAGTGTGACACATATGTGAGAAAGAGATAGAAGCCGGCTAGATAGCGATTCTCATCACCACGTTGTCTAGCATATGTTACACCAGTTGCGTTACTTTATTTATACAGGGCGTTCCTTAATGATATGCGAATATTTAAGGGTGTGAATCTACACGGAAAATTAATGTTAGTTTGCTTTATAAACTATGGTCCAAAAATGTTTCCTTACAAAAACTCGGGGTGTTGAAGTTTTAGGAAAGAAAATGGATTTTAATTAATATTCTCAGAACCGCTTCAGATATTTCACTGATACTTAGTACGTAGTGAAAGTTAATAAAGTTGCAGAGTTTTCAATGCAAAAATAATTTTTAGCTTCAACAGTAGCCTGCGTACCGGTATTGACTTCTTTATTGTTTATTAAAAAAATGGTACGCCAATGGTTTTTTGCCAAATAAAAATTATGTTTGAATTTCCCGTTCAATTTAAAACAAATTATCTCTCTTGAATTGTTCTCCTTCGATGCGCCATTATGAATAAAAAAAATAAAAACCGTTCTATTGCCCGAGAAAATTAATGTAATGAAGCATGCAATTTAGCAATAAATATCTAGTTGCTCTGGAATATGTCACTGGCTTTTGACATCTGTTATCCAAATCTGTTCGCTGTGACATCTTTTTCATTATTTAGTTTTTACAATCTTGTTAATAACGGTGGATTGTTCAAATGCAGAAATGGCCGAAATGCATTACGCATATGGCCTTGCCGACGGTAATGGTGAGCAAGTCAGACGGATTTATCAGAGATATCCCGATCATGCTTTGCCAGATAGTCGAACCTTTTCTAATATTCATCTTCGTTTTGTTGAAACTGGTTCTGTCCGAAAAGGAACATCTGAAGGTAGACCTCTAAGTATGAGAACACTTGAAATTGAGGAAGTAGTGCTGCACGAAGTCGAAGAACATCCTGAAACGAGTACGAGGAAGATCGCTAGACACTTAAACATTTGCTATCAAATTGTTTGGAGAATTTTAGTGGATTTTTTTATTATATCCTTACCATATTTTAAGAGTACAGGCATTACTTCCCATTGATTTTCCAAGGCGTGTGACCTTTTGCCAGTGGTATCTTCAAAAAATTACACAAAATCCGCAATTTGAATCAATGATTCTGTTCACGGACGAAGCTAATTTTTCTCGAAATGCCATTCAGAATTTCCACAACAATCATTTGTGGGCAGAAGAAAACCCCTATGCCGTAACCGAAACCCATTTCCAACACCAATTTTCGGTTAACGTATGGGCAGGAATTATTGGTAACCACTTTATTCGCCCATTCTTCTTGCCGGGACGACTTGACGGACAGACTTATCTCAATTTTCATCAACAACAGTTGCCTTTGCTGCTTGATGATGTTCCGTTAGTAATAAGAAACAATATGTGGTACATGCATGATGGTGCACCAGCGCATTTCAGTGTAGCGGTTCGTAATTATTTACAAACTGTTTATCCAAATTGTTGGATTGGCCGCGGTGGGCCCCAAGAATGGTCCCCAGAACTCAAAAGTTTTGTGGGACTATCTTAAGACACTAGTGAACACAAGTCCCATTAACACTGTAGAGGAATTAAGAGAAAGAATAGTTGCAGCTTGTAATATAATAAAAAACACTCCAGGAATATTTCAACGAGTGCGCAATCCCATGAGAAGGAGGGCCATTTTCAACAATTTTTGTAATCATTTCGTTGGTTTTAATGTTATGTTTATGTTGTTAGTTGTTGTTGTTCATTACCCCTAATGTGTGTTTTCCAATTAAATTAATAATAATTTTGCAAATTAGACAACAGAACGGTTTTTATTTTTTTAATCGAAAATGGCGCATCGAAGGAAAACAATTCAAGAGAGATCAGTTGTTTTATATGGAACGGGAAATTCAAAAATAATTTTTATTTGGCCAAAAACCATTGGCGTACCATTTTTTTCTTAAAAAATATCGACGTCAATACCCGTACGCACGGCACTGTTAAAGCTAAAAATCATTTTTGCACTGAAAAATATGTAACTTTATTAACTTTCACTACGTACTAAATATCAGTGAAATATCTGGAGCAGTTCTGAAAATATTAATTAATTTCCATTTTTTTCCTAAAACTTATACACCCCGAGTTTTTGTAAGGAAACATTTTTGGACCATAGTTTATGGAGCAAACTAACATCAATTTTTCATGTAGATTCACGCCCTTAAATATTCGAATATCATTAATCTTATATCTCAATTTCAAAATTTTTCGCGACTACAATACAGTTGGCGTAGGAATTAAAAAAAACAGAAAACTTCTGTAAAGCAACGATATGCGTAATATTACCTGTAACCAGCTAAGTGTCATGCAATGAGGAATCAAGTACTTGTAAGTGCCTTTCCAATCCTCCCTCGCAGCCATTTTAATCAAAAGGCAAGGAATGAGAGCGTAAAGGAGCAGCTTGAAGTTGATGCAGAACTCGATGCCGTTGCCGATGACGTAGCTAGGGAAAGTGGGGATATGAAGGTCGAGGAAGCGCCAGCCCTGCGCCACGACTGGGTCCGTTTCGTAAGGATACTTGGCGAGCACATTGACGGCGAAGCTGAATAGGGTTAAAGGATCCAAGAAGATTGTGCGCTGGCGACGGCTTCCGCGTTTCGGGATCAGTCCAAGTAGAGTGATAAAGGTGAGGAGGAAGGATATCACAGTGAGCTCAGACTGAGGAATCCACCTGAAACGAAAAATGGACTAATTCAACTAAAACTTCGTGAAGAGAGAAGCGCGGAAAATGAAGGATGATTAATACAACGCTCTTTTAGTATACAGGGTGTTCAGAACGTTGATACAAACCTTTTAAGTGATGATAGACCACCCTACCTGCACCACGTTTAGCCACATATACGTTTGTTTGTCTGTTTGTTGAATATTTATTTAGCATTAATGCTACAACGTCAATTTTGTATACTTATTCGCTTGAGCATTTTTGTTCAATCCGTTTTCGGAAATTTTACATTCTTGTCTATTAAAATTACCTCACTATGCATTTTGAGTATTCATAAAGTGACTTATTAATTTCACCTTAACAATTTTTAAATTCGAACACTGTTTAATATCATTATTCAACAGTTCTAAAGCAGTGTCCAAATGCTACATATATATATATATATATATATATATATATATATATATGTATCGTCAGCAAATATTTTAATTTTTCAGTGTTCTAAAATTTCAGAGATATAGTTTATATAAATAATAAATAGTAACTGCCCTAATTTACTCCCCTGTGGTACCCCTACTGATATATTTTGATCGCTTGACACATTGACATATTTCCAACTTTAGTTTTTTTACTTCTATTTAAACACTTTTGTAAAATGTTTAATACTGATCCTTTAAAACCATAGTGATGCAATTTCATTAACAATTTTTCCCTGTGTATACTCTCAAATGCCCTTTTGAAGTCTAAAAATATTGTTACAATACATTATTTCTCATCTATACTTCTTCTCCAGTCTTCCAGCACTATTTGGATTGCTGCTTCGGTAGAACACTTTTTTCTAAATCAAGCTTGATTTTTTGTCAAAGTTTTGTTTTCTTCAATGAATTCAATGATTTGTTTGTTGTAAATTATCCCTTCGAACAACTTCTCGACATCTGGCAAGATATGAATCGGTCGCATATTTGTATACAGCTCAGAATGTTGAACAGTATTAATGGTGGAACACTTCGCTTTTGATGCTAATTCATCATGTACTAAACAATGATTCACCAATGATAATAATTTCTCTCCAATTATATTGAAACAATCATTAAGAATCTTTTTGAGAGATTCTCACTTGGATTTTTATTAGATTTCAATTCTGAGATAGCTTTTCTTGGATTGTTGTTCTATTTGGAGAAACATTATTCTTTAATGTTTTGCACATCATTTTAGAATTATTTTTATTGATATCGATCTTCTTATCATAGTATTTTTTCTTTTCCTCCCTGAGAACTGCTACACACTCATTTCTTGATTTTGTATATTGTTGTTGTTGTTGAAGATTTATTTAGCATGCTACAATGTCAATTTTGTATAATGATTCGGTTACATTTTTTTTCGATCCATTTTCTGTAATTTTACATTCTTGTCTATTATAATACATATATATATATAATCATTTTCACTTTGGGTTACTAAAAATTTTCTGTAGTCGTCATCGCATTTTAATTTAGACTCCTTGAATACCTGTGAAAACCAGGGTGTTGGGTTCACTCTTTCATATAAAATTTTCTTTACCATTGCTTCTTTCATATATTTATCCATAATACCCATAATTTGTTAGAAGTAGTTGTCGGCATTATCAATAATTTAGGTATATTGTGTTGTAAAAGTGTTTCTCGTAACTTTGTGAAATCAATTACTGTAATTTCTTTCATTTTATTTTCATTGAAGATATTTTCCACTTATCCATATATCCATGAGAGATCACTTATTTTTTGGGTATGCTTAACTTCAGCAATTATACTAAGTGACATATAAATCCGAACACCCAGTTTAAATGGTTTTATTTTAATAAAATTTTGTATAAGTACTTAATGAAGCATAATAAGTAAATGATAAAAATTTCAAAATGATTGCACTGCTTTAAAGCCCTTTGACGTTTAATAATGTGTGGATGCACCCTGATGTGCTACGCATTCTCCAACGCACCTAGGCATGCTTCTGATCAGGTGGTCAATGTCCTCCTGTGGTATCTCATTCCAGGCAACCACCAACTCCTCTCGAAGTGCTTCTAGAGTCTGAGGAGGACGTTGCAAATTGAGCAATCTCCTACCCATCATATCCCACACGTGCTCAATTGGGGATAAGTCGGGAGATCTTGGTGGTCATGGTAACAATGTGACATCATTAAGTTGAAAGAAGTCTATTGTGACTCTAGCAACATGTGGTCGGGCATTATCTTGTTGGAAAGTTGGATCTGCCAGGGTGTCAAGATAGGGTAAAAGAGGGGGTTCTAGAACTTCGTGGATATAACGCTGCGCGTTCATGTTACCTCTGAGGAAGATTAAAGGTGACCTGGAACCATAAGCTATTGCATCCCAAACCATAACTCCAACAGTGTGATGAACATGTCTTCCAACAAAAAACTGTGGATTCCTCCTTTCACCACGTCGCCTTCTAACCCTGGCACGACCATCGTGCATGCCTAAACAAAATCGAGACTCGTCACTAAAGACAATACTGTTCCATTCCTGATCCCAGAGTGACCGTTGTCTGCACCACTCAAGGCGATTACGTCGGTGTTCTCGAGTTAAAGGGAGGACCCAGTGTGGCCGGTATGAAAACAAGCCAAAACTTCCATTCGTCGGTAAACACTTCGCATGCCAATAGGTCTTCCGTGTTCTGAAAACCATTCATTTGCAATGGACCTGGTAGTGGAGAAACGGTCCCTTAAGGCCAATAATCTTAGGGGGCGATCTTCACGGTCTGTTGTTCTACGGCAGCGTCCAGTGCCCCTTGCTCTTTGTGTACGGCCTTCTCGAAGCCATGCCTGACAACACCTAACTGCAATTACCCGAAAAGAAAGTCCAGCTTCCCGAAGTCCCACTATACGGCCCCTATCAAACTCACTAAGTTGAAGGCATCGTAACCGATCGTAAAGGATGTCAAGAACCAAAATCCGCCAACGTTGATTCTTTACTGCGGCTGAAATATTCATTTTTAGAGCGTTAGTGAATTAAAAAAAAGCAGTATAAAAACCAGAATGTCCAACTGAGAAGGCTGAAAATTTTTTCACTTGTTATTTACAGTAAGATAAATACATTCACCAACTTTTATTAAAATAAAACCATTTAAACTGGGTGTTCGGATTTATATGTCACTTAGTATAGATTTTGTTCATTAGTTATGAGCAAATCTATTTTTGTTTTCGAAAAGCTCCTAATCCTTGTATAGTCATTTATTTTCTGCCATAATGGAAGTTTAGTACTTGTTTAAATTTTCTAACATAGAAATATTTACGGTCTTAAACTAAAATTCACGTCACCTTTCGATAATCTGAAAACTATCTGTATAGGAAGACCATGCATCAAGGCAAATGAGAAAAATAGAAAAAATCACTCCTCATTACTAAACAAGCAAATGTTGATCGCACTTCACTTAACACAATTTGTACGTAAGTTCATTAGCAGATGAAGACTACCTACAGCCAGCTTGCCGCAAATGTCAATTTCATTATCATTAAATAATTCTCCCTAAGGGTCGTATCATCAGTTGTTCCTACAATTATTCTAGGACGCTGTTATTGCCTCCTTAATTTTCATAGTTTTCTACTGTTCCGTGTTAGCGTTCTATTTTTAGGTTATGTTACAAATATCTATTTGCATCAATTGTTCATGCTTTTGATTTACACCAACTGTTATATTAGCCTCAAATTTCCGACAATTCAAAAAGAAAACATAGCCTCACAATAGGAGAACGCTGACCCAGAACAATAGAAATCTAGAAATACCCCAGCCTTTCTGAAGGAGAGAAAACACTATGAAAATCAAGGCGGCTATAAAGGCGTCCTACAATTTATTGTAGAAACGACTGATACATAGCCCTCTTAGAGTAATCATCTTTACTGACAAGCCGAATTTGATCAAATAGACCTAGTTAGACTTACCTGTCTGATATTATAGGATAGACTAGAAGATTGACTAGTAGCGCCAAAAAGAAATGACCATACGGTCTCAGGTTGTTCCTGATGTATTGATGTTCTAGATAGTCGGTGTTTAGGCCACCTCCTGAGTACGTGATGAAAAGACTCGACCACATGCGGTATTCAGTCAGTTCGCGACGATCCTGAAGACACCTATATGAAACAATTACTCTGTTTAGTACGGTATTCACACCCGAATAAATCATGTATAGATTTAATCCATAATCGCGCGACGCAGAGGTTATCTTAATGCACCGTCCAAAAACATTTGGTTTCGAAATTTGCAATTTGTCATTTTTTGCGGTGAATTTAGGCTGTTTAATTTGGCGTTGAACATGGAAATTGAGTATGCACACACATCTAACCATACACGTACACACAATAAAGTATTTCCAGGGGTAATGGCCGAAATCTCTTCCGTGTGGGATATGCAGTTGCAAACAGGAGTGGCGATATATATTTTTTCTTCGCGGTGAACCCTGCTTGGTATTTCTATCTGTAGTCTTTACCAATATTTCACGTCTGGGTTGAACCGAATAGAAAGAGCAGTAGTTGTTACTGTTTATTAATTAGGCGTACGTTTTTTAGTTTTGTCTCACTACCTTGAAAATTTTTTCGTCAACGTATGAATTCCCACATTTCTGCTTGTTGCCGTCACTATGACAATTTGCTTGTCGTGGGCGCTAGATCCAGGTTTACTTTTTGTTAATATTATATATAAAACATAGCAATGCCTGCATAGACCAGTACAATGTAAACAGTATTTATTGAGTTTATTGCAATGTTTTCGGAAAGTTAGCGAAAACAACGGTGCTCAATCACCACCTCCAAGGGAGAGTAGCAGCTGTGTTAGAGATCGGCTTGCATTGTCGTTCCATTAGGGAAGTCAAGTTCCTGCTCATGATACATTTAGTCAAACTTTTTTTTTATTTCGTATGCCATTGCGACGTAATTCGTAAGAACTACATATGTTTCAAATTCGACCTTCACCATTGGGATATCGGAAACGGTAAGAGATACGAAGATACGAATGGAGGTAAAGTTGCGTATTCAGGTAACTAACAAAATGCCGCTTAGAAAGTTCAAAGAACTTCCGGAGAGAGATGGAAAAACATGATTTTCCCAAAATTGTTTTCATTTTTTCCTGACTTTATGTGTCGTGGAATTTTAACAAATAACACATTACAATTGCCACTGTTCTCCTCTATAAGACAGCATAATTAGAATTTCAATATGTCCTCCACCATCAACTTTATTTTTTCTTATGGTTCCTAGGTAAGCCTTGGAAATTGAACATAATAACAGAGTTCGGAAGACAGAAGAAGAAAAATAAATCGAACAGTAAGCAATGTACAGAGAAGAGTTAGGCTTTGCCTTAAAAATAACGGAAAACATTTTAAACATCTATGATTTACCTTATTCATGATTATTATTGTTATTACCATCAATAGAAAATTTCGTTTTGTGTTCAGGTTTTAACATAACTTTTTATTTCTTTATAATTTACATCCAACACATTAATGGCCAACTAAGGAAATACATCACTGAATTTAGGACTAAAAAGTCCATTTAAATGTTTAAAATTCCAATACAATGTCCATATATAAAACAAAGTTGGTGGTTTATAGAGGAGAATAAGTAACAATGACAAACAAATGAATTTGATAATTTCAAGTATTATACATTTTTGGAATCAGAATTAATAACTCTATTCCTCTGTGCAAAAATCCAATATGGCGTCCATAATAAAATATAAAGTTGATGCTGGAAGAGAAGAGACGAAACGTCATATTTAAATTCTAATAATTTGCCTCCATTTAAGCAACTTGGTATGTGTTACAGTTTCCGAAATCCCAATGGCGAGGGTCGAATTTGAAACACTCGGTATACATTTTATATTTATTGTTATAGTTTCTTTTTATAGTCGACTAAAAATTAACTGTATCTTAATAAAGTAAATTGTTGAAACGTTTTTCTTATTTAGAATAATAAAAAAATATTGAGTCTTATTTTTATTGCAAAACACTTCTCTTGTTCTAATGGTGGCGGAGGATCGCACTCTACTCTTCATCTCTTTAAAGGTCATTGCCCAGAATGTGGTTGATGTTTCTGTTCGACACTAGAGTGCGTGCGGTATGGTAAACGCAGGGATGGCCACGGAACGGAAATTGTTTCGTTATACAATTGTCGTTTTGAGGTTAAAGCTCGTCATTTTTTGTAATCTCCGTCGACCTTAAATACAAGGGCTGAACGTGACTTGGTGCTATTTACGGTCCTCTCGTGTAGCAGTTCAGCGGCCACAACCTGCGTGAATGCAGCAATTTCACACCCAGTGCTGTAATTTGCCGGGTTGTGGATTTTTTTTTATAGAAATCAGACTCCATTGGTGAATTTTGTTGGCGGGGCCCTTTTCTCACCCTCTTGGGGATTAAGTCGTTGTTGCAGCTACACCTAAACCATCGAGCTGGTAAGAAACCATTTTCTCCAAGCCACGTTGTTCACTTCCTCAACATGATTTCTGATTCTATAGAGCGGAACTGTCTGCATTAATACTCCGAAACGATCTATAAGTAGGAATCGCGTCTACGAGAAGCAGCCCTCATTTCCGTGAGCACTCATTGTTCGAGATAATTATGATTTTTTACTTTGCTAGGCCTGTCTTAATCTCGTACAAACTGAAAACTTTGTTAAACAATTAATCCAAGTGTCACCAATGAGGCGAATCAGTTGAAGAAACTGATATATGCAGAACTTCTGTCCAAAGTATTATTCACGAGCATAGGTACCATCCATATCACCTATGCTTGCATCAAGGCCTTTGTCCTCAGGATTTCGCAGCTCTAATGGAGTTTAGTAGAATAGGAGTTGTCAACAGGCATAACAAGCACTATTATGCGACGGAAAACCCTTACTGGGTTAGGCAAATAGATTTCCAAAATAAATGGAGCTTGAATGTTTGGGGAGGAGTTATTGGCATACAAGTTATCGGGCCTTTCTTTTTCGACAACAGATTAACAGGTACAGGATTCTTGAATTTTTTGATCGAGCATTTGGCTTTGCTTTTGGAGGATGTCAACCTGCAAACTCGGATGCATATGTACTTCCAACATGACGGCTCACCTGCGCATTATCATAATCATGTGCGTAACTATTTGGACACCTGGAATAACAATCGTTGGATCGGTCGTGATGGGCCTATATCTTGGCCTCCAAGATCACCAGATATGACACCGATGGACTTCTTTCTATAGAGCTACGTTAAGTAAGAGGTTTATAGATCCACCATCTATCCCGGAAAATATGAAGGAAAGGATTAAGGATGCTTTTCTGAACATGCTGAGGGATGTGCAAGGGTCACTTATCCAAAGACTACGGCTTCAACATGGTGGAGATATTTTCGAGCAGTTTTTCTGGATTAGGTCTTGAGTAGTGATAGTTGTTTGTTTATGTTGTTGTTATAGTTGTTTTTCTCTATTACGCTTGAAGCTGATTTATACTGTTCTGATTGTTATTAGTTTTTACGTCAAATCTGTACTCTTAGTGGCAATATGGAACTAGCCCATTGTTTGTCTTTTGTTTCCATGGATGATGTAATTTTTTTATCCTTAATTTTGGTGTGTTGTGCTATTAAAGGCTTAATAACTCAAAATCTAGTGATTTTATCTGAATTGAACCTTATATAAAAAAAGCTTATAAGAATTTGAATCCAAACTTGCACAAATGTACAGGGTGATGCATTTGAAATTTTTGAGAAAAAGTAGAATTCGCGTTTTTGACCACCCTGTATGAGCAAAAATGAAAATTCGAAAAAGTAACAAATAAGATAAAAGCTGAGGAGTGTAAGTTTTTTGTGATACAAAATTCTGCCGAAGTGAAAGGTTTCTCTGGACAAAACACCTAACATCTCAGTAGCTAATTACCAAAACCCCAAAGTAAATTGTATCAATCTTCTTCTTTTGAATTAGTTTATCCAAATATGCAATAAAATTTGAGGCATTCCATTTAAAAAATCACAACTTTGATATGTAGGTCAAAATTGGGACACCCTGTGTAATTGCCAATATTTTAGAAATGTGCCCTCGAATGTCATGTATAACATGCCATAAATATATTTTCCCAAAATGTATTTGTTTATGAGTAATATTCCGCCCATGCATGGATGGGGTACCCTGTATACAGGGTGACTTTGAAGTTGAGTCATTAATTTTCAGATAATGATTGTAGAAGGAAGATAAACCAAAATATGTGTGTAAAAATAAAAAAAAATAAAAAAAAATGTTACCTTGTTTAATAAAGTATCCTCCCGACAAGTATTTCAGTGCGGACCTGTATTTGATCGTGCGGTCTTGGAGCACCGGCATGCTCTCACCTGTGAGGTCTTAAGCCACCTGATTCACGAGCCCTTTGTACTATATTAACAAAGGCACGAGGGATTGGTTGCACTCGATTGGGAAACCGATTCGCATAAATCCGTGATGCATCCGGCAGCATTTTGTAAAGACTGCCCCCCCGTAAATAAGAATCATGTCCACAAGTTCAGCATTTTCGTAAACATGTGCCATTTTTCATTTCGTTTGAGTCACGCAACAAACATCACTATTCACCCACGCGTTACCGACTGACGAAAAACAACGTGATAAACGTTTCAAATTCTTTCGCTTTTTTGTTTCCGATGCGATGAACCGATATCCGTTGTTGCCAAACACATATTATTATTGAGACAGGGCGGTACTCAAACTTCTAAAGGGCTTTGTTACTTTAATTTTACCAGAAAAATGTTAAAGGAAAAAAACAGTTCTTTTGATCAGATCTACTCACTGTTAAAATAAATGACTCAACTTCGAAGTATATATATATACATATAAATAGGAAAATAATGGGCAAAATCCGCAAAAAGAAGGAAAATGGATTCGAGCAGAAAACAGGATAGGTAACCCGAGCGATGCGTATTTCTGCTGGTTGGCTTCATCAGGCCCGAAATGAATGCACAAATCTAACTACAAAAGTAGATAGACATGCCCATACATCCGGTTATGGGTGTAACTTGAGGAAACGAAGATGGAGTGGGAAAAAATCACACACGAAGTCCACAACAAGAGCCAACCTATACATTGTAGTACAAAATGGCTAGAAGATCTCGATTTTTCAAGGCGACATCTAACCACAACCACGCGGCCGGTCTTCTAGCCATTTTATACTACAATGTGTAGCTTGGCTCTTGTTGTAGACTTTGTGTGTGATTTTTTTCCCTCTCCATCATCGTTTCCACAGGTTACACCCGTATCCGGATGTATAGGCATGTGCATCTACTTTTGTAGTTACATATGTGCATACATTTCGGGCCTGTTGAAGCCAACCGGCAGAAATACGTACTGCTCGGGTTACCTATGCTATTTTCTGCTCGAATCCACTTTCCTTCTTTTTGCGGACTTTGTCCATTATTTTCCTATTTTTTGTTATATATCCTTCTCCGCATGATCATTTTCTCTTTGTAGATGCTTTGGGCTTGAAGTACCACATCAAGTCGCTATAACCGGCTGCGTGGTTGTGGTTAGATGTCGCCTTGAAAATTCGAGGTCTTCTAGCCATTTTATTCTACAATGTGTAGTTTGGTTCTTGTTGTGGACTTCGTGCGTGATTTTTCCCCTCTCCATCTTCGTTTCCTCAGGTTACACCCGTATCCGGATGTATGGGCATGTGTATCTACTTTTGTAGTTACATATGTGCATTCATTTCGGGCATGATGAAGCCAACCAGCAGAAATACGTATTGCTCGGTTTACCTATCCTATTTTCTGCTCCAATCCACTTTCCTTCTATTGCGGATGTTGCCTATTATTTTATTATTTTTTGTTATATACCTTTCTCCGCATGATCATTTTTTCTATATATATACGCTCACGAGGAAAAATATTCCTGTTGTTCTCAAGTAACATTTTAATTGCCTTAAATTGAGAGAGGACATGAAATATTTTACCTCCGGGTCCTGATGTTGTGTTACAAATAATTTCAATTTATTTTAGGTTATTTAAAAAAATTAGGTATTGCTATTGTAATTACGATTTGCTTTAGTTTAATAATTTTTGAATTGATGTAACCCAAGTCTAAATGGTTCCATTTTAAATATAAATTTTTAATTCTTGGAAGCAAATTAAAAGCTATACAGCTATCCCTTCTCTTGTGTTAATTTTTTTCTAATTTTATTTTTTGCTAAAAACCATTTAGCTGGGGGGTACTACCAACTAATTTCATGTTGCTTGTCTCCCACGACTTCTTTTAAAATTTGTTTTTGTTCAATAAATGTTTGCGTGCCTTGGGAATTTGAGTCTCATTTTGCTCTAGAGACCCATCATTTGACAGTCAGTTTAAGTTTTGATAGGCCGAAAGGCACTACTTGTTATATCCTTTTCCTAGTTCTTGGAACTAGGTGGCGCTCAAACCTCAACCGTTTGTATCAAAGACCAAAGTACAAAGAATTATAATCTGAGGTCACATATCTACCAACTGAGCACAGGGTTAGTTATATTTTTCCCCCAAATTATAACTAGAAATATAGACAGGATAACACAGTTTAGGCCGGATAAAATTATTTCATTATTCAATTGTGTATAATGATGTGAATCTTGATTACCTGAATGTGCAGCACACCATGATACCAAACGATGTGTAGTAAAGCAGCATCGGAAAGAGGTTGAGGACATTATCTGCGCTAAGTATTGTATAGGCAATAAGTAACATAACTAATTGCAGTTCTGATCTGACTAGAGACAAGAAAGCCAAGCTTCTAACGCCTAAATATTTGATAATGTTAAGGTACAGAATATGAAGAGCTAGCAACGGATGAAGAATAGAACGTTGAACGAGAGGTATCCGATCCAGCGCTCTTGGATCAGGTTCCAGGAGACACAACGTGGTAGTGACAGCAGGCAGTAGGCCATGTGAGTAGTCGACTGCTGCTGTCACCAAATGATCCTCGGTCAGCTTTTGATTAGCGACATCAGAGGGCATTTCACGGCATCGTTTTAGCCAATCCACCTCCGCATCATGGTTGCTATTGTTTGATATGTCCCCTGATTGGTGTTGTGGTCGACAATGTAACAGTGAGTCTCCATCCATCATTTCGTATTCCCCTGAAACAATATTGTAGTATTGTCACGATATAAACAACTTCAACATATTGGACTGGCGGGCTGTCAAAATGACCGTTTTTGTATAGAGTGTCCCGCTATAAATTGACCCCTCTATAAGTTTTTTGTATGACCTTTTAGAAAAAAGTTATACAGGGTGGCCCAACGAAAAGGTCGCACCCCCATTTGTGACTTTTCTGAGCTGCTTTGCAGTGGTTTTAGTTTAAGGGTGATAAGCTCCAGAACTGCTTCAGAAACAATGCATGAGAATACAACATGCAGTGGGACAGTATTGGAGCTGAGCACTACTGAGTTACTCCGAGTTACTCAACAGGGTCACTGGAAAGCAGCTCTGGTATATTTTGGGACACATCACTTTTGATTTCTAGAGAGACGTCTTTTCATCTATACATATCTTACAATACAGGGTGATCAGAAAATAAGATATTGCGTTACACTTGATTTTCAAATCGAAACCCCTATTTTTTTTTAATCTTTAGATTTTCCATCAAATTTTAGTAACTTTTGTATAGTAAAGTTTATGCCTAACTTCAATTGTTATGAAGCTATTTGAGTTTATAATCAAATTTGACTAACTTAATATTTATAATAATGGAATGCACGGCAAAAATAATCATCATGGATACCACCAAGAACATTTAGCATCAGTCAGTGTCATCGTATGTTATAAAAAAGCTTTGTCTTTCATTTCAAATTGTTAAGTTACCTACGTAGTTGTGATAAATATTGAACAATTACTTTTTCAATTTAAGAAAGGGTAGAAATAACAAAACAAGAGTACAAGATAAAACTTGTCCATGAGCTTAATGAAGATGATTTTGATAGAAGGTTGATTAATGTCCCAACGTTCAATCAACAATGCAAATCTGTTATTTAATATTTGTTTCTCGGATGAGTGTACGTTTTATTTACATGGTGCTGTAGACATAATTGACTCGAATCCACATTTGTTTCGAGAGGTACACTCGCAATATACTGAAGAAATAAATATCTGGGCCGGCATTTTCGGAAATCATATTTTAGGACTTTTCTTCAACCCTGGAAACTTGTCGGGCGAAATGTTAGAAAATACAATAGCGCCACGAATTACCGAAATAATAGAAAATGATGGCCCCATCGAGTGTCCGACGAGATTTTCGGACCTAAGTCCTTTAGATTACTTTCTTTGGGGGCATCTGAAAAGTAAACTTTTTAGTACGAAGCCAGATTTCATTCAAGATCTTCGTCAGCGGATTACGGCTGAACGTAGACAAATATCTCAAGTCATGTTCTAAAATCTGAGGAATAGATTAGAACAAAATGTTTATTATTGCATGGAGGTAAATGAACACCACTTTCAGCACTTATTACCACTTTGACCTACCTCTTCATAGCAAATTAATTTTTACTTTAACTTTAATGTGTGTGAGAGCTGTAAGTTATCTTTTGTTTTCTTAATTATCGGATACTTGTTTTTAATTTTGTTTTATCGAAACTATATTGATGATATTTTTATGATATAATCTCTTATTATCACCATTTCTAGAATTTTATTATAAACTCAAATGGCTTCACAACGATTGAAGATAGGTATAAACTGTATTAAACAAAAGTTACTAAAAGAGGGTTTCCATTTAAAAATCTAAAGTGTAACGCAATATCTTATTTTTGGATCACCCTGTATTGTACGGCTATAAATGAAAAGACGTCCCCCTAGAAATCAAAATTGACTTGTCTGAGCGTTTTTTCTAAAATGTAGCAGGCGCAAATAGGCGCCACCCTGTATGCAAATGTTGTAGAAAAGTAGTCGGTGGTTTTCCGGTTAAATAGACAGTGCTTTTCAGAAAGGTCCCCAACTTATATTTTTAACAGGACAAGTTGGCAAGCTGAAAATCGGGGTACTGAATTGGATGTATGAATACTATGTTTTAGCGTAAAAGTGATACTTGTAAAATGTTTACATGGCTGCCAGGCGCCATTTTGGAACTTTTTTCAATTGTATCATTTGGTTTTTTTATTGTGTTTCAAAATGAGTGACATCAATTTCAAGCAACGCTGTGCTACCAGGTTTTCTTTAATACTGGCTAAACAGGCCTACGGAGATAGAGTTTTGTAAAGAGCCCAGGTTTTGCGGTGGTTTAAGGCATTTTCAGAAGGGAGAGAGTAGAATGAAGATGGACCACGAAACGGAAGGCCTTCATCTTCTAGAACCGATGAAAATATCGACAGAATCCGGGATCTTAGGCGTTCAGATCATCAGTTGATAGTCAGAATGATCGGGAAAGAGTTAAATTTGTCGAAGAACAAGTGGGCGTTGCATCACGATTATGCTCTTTGTCACACAGCAATGTAAATAAACGAGTTTTTGGCCAGCAAGACATTTCGGTGGCTCCTCAGCCTCTTTATTCGCCTGACTGGAGTCCTTGTGACTGTCCCGAAGTTGAAAAATCACTCATTTTGGGACAGTCGAAAACATTCATACGGCTGTAACCGTCCAGCTGAATGCCATTCCAGTGTTGGGGTTCCAGCACTGGTACAATGAGTGAAAGAACCATCTCCACTGCTGTGTGGCTTCAGAAGAAAGTCATTTTGAGGGTGAAAATATATAATTATAATTATATTTGAATTAAAAAATTAACAAAAACCAGCCTCATCACTTAATTTACAGACCTCAATAAATATTATACATATATCATTCCAAAAAACAGTTCATATTATTGACAACAGGATAATACAAATATTAAAATACACATGAAATACATAGGACTACAGCAACGCGCTCATAGAATATATATCACAGATAAATCTGCAGAAAAATACTCCTCCATAGTACAGGGTGCGGCAGAGAGGACGGACGTTTTTGGGATGGGTAGTACTCTCCGCCACCATCTACGAGAGAGGTGGGGAGGGTCCGTTTGACTCGTGAGATCCTAGCATAGCATTATTTTACCAGTTGTCGTTATGGAGCCTTGGACGGTGGAGCCCCGCGTTTTCGCCTATGATTGTTTCGTCCGAAATAATGAGTCAGTCATCGTCGTACAGCGTGAGTGTCGTCGCCACTTCAACATTCATCGGAATAGAGCTGTTCCCTCTCGAAACACCATCCTTCGTTGGGTTGAATCACTTCGCAGGCGTGGTGAACTGATCAACAGAAGTGATCGTTCGGTATTATTCGTCCTCTCTTCCATGGTCGCCTTATTTCCAGGTTTGGCGATGTTCATTGGCCTCCTCGGTCCCCAGATTTATCCATATGCGATTTTTTCTTATGGGGACACCTCAAGGCTACAGTATACGCGAACAAGCCCCGAACTCTTGACGAATTGAAGGGCGAAATTCGCGTGGAAGTCGCCCAAGTTGAGAGAGCGATGTTGGAGAGATTCTACGCGAACTTCCAAGAACGCCTCCAGCACTGCATCAACGATTTCGGCCACCACATGCCTGATGTGATTTTCCACACTTAACTGTCTCAAATACTATTTCCTTGTGAACCTGATTGCATCAATACATCTCTTTTCGAGTAAAAATTAACTATTTTATGATTTTTTTAAAACCGTCAATCCTCTCTGCCGCACGCTGTATAAACTACTTTTCTTATCAACATTTGTTTTACAGTTCTTTTACAGCTGATAAGAGGGAGGTTTTTAATATTAAAATATATACCTTCATGCTCATTAATTTTGGGCTATGTTCCCTGATGGAGGGTGTTTCAAGTAACTGATTTCTGGTTCTGTAGTTATTTTTATTGAATGTTTTGAAAGAAGTTATGTTGGTCTTAACATATGACAACTGGAAATGTATACCGATACTAATGTTAAACTACCAAGGTCTTTAAATAATTATGTGCAGCTAGTTCTTCTATGCACACCAGCTATGCATCTTTTGCGGAAAAAATTATCTGGCATTCCTTAGAGCAACCCCATACTAATATACCATATGGCATGACAGACCGTTGGGCATAATACGTTAATAAAATAGATTTATTTACAATGCTGCGTAACTGGCCTAGACTGGGGGCCATTTTCCTGCTTACTTCACTCACCTGTATCTTCCAGCTACAGTTTTCACATATATGAATCCCTAAAAATTTAGTTGACTGTACTCACTTCAAGGATATATATCCAGTTTTAATTACCAGTCTATGATCCACATATTAGCGCAAAAGATGAAAACGAATGAAAACGGTTTTTGATTCATTTACAAACAAATAATTTTTTTCAATCCAAGCACTTGCATTATCGAACTCCGTGTAAGACTTTACAACCAACGAACTTAGGGCGTTAGAAGTAATAAGTAACGAGGTGTCATCTGCATACATGATGTAGTTTTGTCGAAAAAGTCGTTTATATACACTACAGGAGTGGTGCTAATATCTGAACATTTTAATCTTTAGAAAGGCTGATTCTCTACTTCCACAAAGCGTTGAGTGTTGTTCAGATAGCATTTAAAGCATTGCAATGGCAGCCCTCTGATGCGATACATTTCTAGTTTCACTAAGAGTATTTTATGGTCAACAAGATCAAAAGCTTTACGGAGATCTAAAATAATAAAACATTTTTGAAATCAGAATTAAAAACTATTCATCTGCGCAACAATCCAATATGACGGCTATAAGAAAAAAAGTTAATGATAAAGGACAAGAGAAATTCTAATTATTAGTCTAATCATATTAGATGAAAATACCCCTGGTTTGCGAAATAATTGTAATGTCTGATTTTAATGATGCAGGTGTTCAAGGGGGTATTTGAAACATGGACAAATAAATGGGTACACCAATTTTTGTGGGAAAACTTTTTGTTCGACACAAAGAATGAGAAAACTCGTTTTTTGGGATTCAGTCCAAAGTGTTGGCAGGAACAAAAAAACTCTACAAATAAGATTTTTAGGTATTTAGGAGACCTACCAAATGAGACCACACGTAAAAAGATACGACTGATATTAAAAAAGTTATGGCCAAAAACCCAGGCAAAATACAGGTTTTGGCACTTTTTGTTAATGCGACGATA